TGTCCCTCTCTTGACCGCCGTCCCGTTCACTTTCCGATATTGAACAAGGGCCGCTGCGCGCACGCACACATAGACATCCCATCCGAGGTACACTACGCTGCAACGTGCTAAGATGGGAGATGGGTACATACATACCTACCCGCATCCAGTTTACAGTGGGCTGAGGTAGGAACGCGGTATCGCAGTGGGGTTTCTGGCGTCGTGTCGCTGTCCGGCCTGTGTGTTTCTGGAAGGCTTCTGTCGATCCCGCGGGAGCTCTTTGACCTCCTCTCCTTTCGCGTGTGTGACATTTGCCAATGGAGTTTGCATGTTTTCTGCCGGTGGGACCTGTTGATATTTGTAAACGAGGTTGATGAAATGTTACAACTCATAGGAAACAGAGAGTGATCGGCAGAGATATTGGTTCGCTTTTATGGGGGGCTCTCTGCCTTGTGGGCTGCCTTGATCAAAGCTCCTCGTAGGAAAATGTCCGACGAGTCCGTGGATGAGAACCGAGAGGCGGTCTGGGCTGGTTCTGTTTGGTTCAGGGGGGCTGGATGGGCTTGAGCCAGAGAGTCTTGGGTGATGCCAGCTGAGATGTAGAGATCTAGTTTTGGAAACGGTTGTGGATAGACGTTGACTTCAAGCCATTCCGCAGTTGAGAAGCCACCCAGACTAGATCGTGGTATTCAGGATCGTTAGTATTATGACAGGAACCAGACGTGATCTTGTAGCTATCGTGGCTTTCGGGACTGCCCATGTTGTCGTCATCCGTTAAATGGTGTATTAGTACCGAGACGGCATTTCTCAGCCTCACTCACGTCTGAGGACGTTCTGTTGAGCCTCAAAGTAAACGTCCAACTTAGGAGTCCTTCCCACTTAGCGAAGGAAGGCACGGTTGGGCAAACTATCGTATTTGTGCTACTGGAGCAAGCTAGATATATCCACAGTCGCACACGTCCAGCCTGCCGGTCTCCGCGTTGCGCAAGCCATCTAGTGCTCAGTCCTTCCCGTTCCCAAGTTGTACTGCAGCCGTTTATTGCCTGGTACCAAACTCAATTAGCATGATCGTTGCCTTGAAGTCAATATAAGCATGGCTCGGAGAGTTCAAGTGACGGCATTTCCGTTTGCGGTTATCCTTCCGCACGCGGCTTAGTTGCATGCCTCGGCTGCGTCTTTGCGACAACAAAATAGCAACGTCTCTTTAGAGAATCCCCGCCAGGAACAAATCAAATTCTCCTCTCTGGTTCCTTGAATGCATTGTTTCACAGGAGCGTATCTGGCTTTGGATCTTCGAGTGTTTGGAATAACTGTGTTGTCCGCTGAAGTAGTTGAATAGGTTGCCGCGTGTTGTTTGAAAAGCGAACACAATAGCGCAGACGTGATAATACGTTGTGGACGCCAGAAGAAACGGACAGATGTTCCAGTTGGATTAAAAGTGACCCAAACCGTATTGTCGTTGTCTCGAAAGATTTACTCCAAGTACTGAATCACTCAATTCCCTTCCATTCAGCCCGTCGCCGGCCGTCGTCGTCCGATTGCGGTTGCTGGATCACACCTTTCTCAGGTGAGTCTTATATACTCCAACCATTCAAGGGAACCAGGTTTTATCATATAATATCATCATTCATGCGAAACAACTTCTCCGTATCCTTTAGTTCTCTCGTTGTGGTCATCGTCACAACCACTATTCTGGCAATGTATCTATTTGCAGCGCGTCGTATTCTGGGGCTGGTATCAAGGGAGACGGGACGCAAACTCCACAGTAAAATTTGCACTTCAAGCAACTACAACATCGTCGAAGAGACAATCGTTGCGAGTGATCTTCCTTGTGAATGCATTTGTGCGAAGAAACAGAGGACCTTGACAACTGCAGGTCAAGCCGGCAACCACGACAAGCAAGCGTCCTGGAAAACCCATTGGTGGCTGATGCCGGTGATTCCTAACGAATACAGGACGAAGAATGAAGAACGGAGATGATGAAAGAGGAGTTTATTCGAAGTTAATCAGATCCCGTCAACATATCTTCTTGTGTGAATAAAGCTATCATACAAGTATGTCCAGAAATTCAGTTGCTTCTCTAACAACAGGAGCTGGGAGAAATCTCGATTAAGCCACCCTGTAAAGACGCTTTTGATAATGTGGGATAGTACGTAGTTTACTTCAAGCTCTCTTCAACATTGAAACGCCCATCCATCGGCCACGGGTCAGGATTCTTCTTGGTTCTAGCTCGGTTAGCAATCTCAACTCAATGGATTCCGAGAACAACTTACTTCAAGTCAACACCAGGAGTCAACTTAGCACTCCCATACCGCAAGAGCTTGTAATACCACGTGTTACCAAGTCCCACAACTCCAATCCAAGACGCCATCGTTGCCATCTTCTCTGATCGTGGTCTCCTGAGACGAGCATACTCTTCCAGCGCGGAAGAGAATCCGTCTTTTGCCCCAGCCTCTGTATCTGTCGCCGAGCAGTGCTTGAGAAGCATGCTTGCAAGCACAGTTGCGTCCTCAATAGCAAACCCTGTTCCCTGCCCGCTTGTGGGCAGCATCAACCGCGCAGCATCGCCGAGGAGAACGATGCTGCTGTCGCCAGTCCACTGGATCTCATCCTCCTTCCACACACGTTGTCTCAATGGCGTGTGAATTATACGGTCCGAGCTGTTGAGCATCGTCTCAAAGTCTCCTGTGAAGGGGTGTTTGAGGCGCAGGTGGCGGCGGAGGATCTCGGCCGTTGTGGATGTTGGATATTGGCCGGGCGTTATGGCTGCCAGCCATGGCTCTTGTTCCTGTTTCGTGGCTGGCGGAGATGATGGCGTTGGCGCCACAGCGGGTTCAGACCCCAGAGGTGCAGGATTTGGGTCTGGTGGTGTCGACTCGGGCAGGATGAGATCCCACCGGAACATCCTTCCCGGACATGGACCAGTAGCCAGGAATCCCTCCTTGAGGAAGATGCACTGGGACTCTGTGAAAGGACGCTCGGGTTTATGCGTTGACGGCATCTTGTCTGCTGAAGAGATACCGTAGATGCCGGTTGTGCCCATGAAGTCGGGAAGCCATCTCTCTTCTGCCGTCTGTGGGTCCCTGAGGTTGAGAAGGTGCCGACGAACTTGAGAGTATCCACCATCCGCGCCGACGAGAAGGTCAACTTCGATATGTGTACCATCGGCGAAGTCTACACGAGTCTGCTTACCACCAGACGAAGAAACAGCTTCGAACTGAACCGCCTTCTTGGACCACTTGACCTCACCACCTAGCTGGAGCACGCGATCGATGAGGAGAGCTTGCAAGCCTGCTCGCTCAAAGTACATCGCGCCTAGCTGGAAGTCGTGGGACCAAAATCCGTTTCTCGCAGTCTTGAGATGTGACAACTTGCAACTCTCAGTGATCTCTCCGAACCAGAGTGCCAAGTCATCGCATTCATGGCCGTGTTTCTTCAGCGCGTCGCCGAGACCAAGGGAGAACAGGGGATGCAAGCCGTTCGGAAAGAGGCCGACGGAGGCGCCGGCGCGTTGATGATGGGATGTAGTCGAGGAGGAGGATTCCCATCCCGGCCCCGTTCCCGTGCCGTTGGACTTTGAGGATGTGGTCGGGATCGGAGCTGGGGGTGGAGACTGGTCGAAGAGGATCGGACGGAAGCGGGTGCGGAGAACGGGATGCGTGAGGAGGTGGAGAGCGAGGGTCGGGCCGGCGATGGCGGCGCCGATGATGCCGATGGTTTTCGGGGCCGGGGTCGTCATAATGTGAAAGGGTCTGCAGACAGGCTACCTTTTTCCCTCCTTCCACGAACACAAGAAAGAGCAGTCAGAACATGGTCGACAGAGAAAGTCCAAGACATGTCGTTGAATTTATACACATTCCTCATCCGCAGGATCCCCCGAAGGATCACGACACATCCCTTCCCACATCCATCCCATTTCCCGGCTCAGCTCCTTACGGGAGGAGCACCAAGATTCATAGCGCGACACGGCAGCCATCATCCATCGTTTGAGTTCCGGTCTAGCATTCCAATCCGCTCAAGGGCGCCATGAAACTTGCCCAATCCGTGCTGGCGGATTGCGCCACGCTGGACAGCTTGACGCCGTAGGGCTGCATCCTTCGTAAGAAAGGCAGACGCTCGGACCGTAAAAAGTGAACGTCGTAAAATTGAAGCCGTGACTGAAGGCTTGGCGTTTTCCGGCTGGGTGTAGTTAGGTTGGAGTTGTGTAACAACGATACCTCCGTCCCGCGGAAGATGCAACGTTTGAGGGCTTGTGAGAGGCAGCCATGCAAAGCACGCGGAGATTTTGGCCAATTTCTCCAGAATTTCTGAGCAAAGTTGCACTTCAGAAAACGTGTCGACGCCCCAAACCGCAGTAGGCTCCATCGCAACAACGCCCCGCCGGTTCTTAGTGCCTGAGTTGCCCTAAGCTGTCATCAACCAATCCGATATGGTGTAGTGGCCAACATGATGCCCTCTCATTAACTTGCGAGGTTAGGCATAGCCCCGAGTTCGATTCTCGGTTTCGGAACATTTTTGTATCATCTGGCATCTTTTAGCAATTTGTTTTTGTCCACCCGTTTGTACTGATTTTTGCGCACGCGAGCAATGCAATTCGACTTCCTCTGTACGGTGGAAAACTTACATGCAACGGAATGTTATTCAGCGGAGCATAGCGTACGTTTTGCGCAAAGCCATTGATTTTTCTTCGTTTTAACGGAAGCGAAATGAGGGAGGAGTCTTGCGAGCCGCCCTGGGAGCCTCCCCGGCCTTTAAAGCTGAACCGCTAACCCTCGCACACGCTTCCAAGTGACTGTTGCTCTCCTTTCCTCCTCTTTCGGCCATTTGATCAGTCATTCAAATTCTAAGTACAGACCATGCTCAACGCTCACACGCAAGGCAATATGAACACGAGGAGGAGATGGATGCCTCGATCGAAGCCAGCAGCAGCGACGTACTGCACCATTCCCTACGGTACCGAATTTCATTCCGGCTGTTCTACCACAACCACCAGTGGCCCATCCCGGCATCCGCTTTTCAGTCGATATGCCGTAGAATCCGAGCATTGCCGTTATCCAAGCTCTATCTACCCCGACCTCGAGCTCAGAGATTTCGACTCCGGCTTCGTCCATGTGCGCTGTCCCATGACTCAGGAAAGCTTTAATCTGCATGGGCATGCTGACTCTCTCGTCATCGCGGTCGATGGTGCTTGCCCGCACAATGGGCATGGGGCAACGGCGTCAGGGATTGGAGTCTACTTTGGCCCGGGAAACGGGAACAACTTGAGCGCACGAATCCCGGATGAACTTGCTGGCTTTGCGGGACACACAAACAACCGAGCCGAGATATATGCCGCCATCGTTGCCCTCAAGATTGCACGAGATTTGTGCGATTCTCAAGGGGCCAAGGCGAAATACAAATCCATTGTTATCAAATCGGACTCTGCGTATGTCGTTGAGTCCGTTGGTGGAGGAAGGAACGGAGAGCAGGCACACATATTGAAGTGGATTTCGAACGGCTTTCTGTCGGTCAAAAACAAACCAGTGAAGAACCTGATGCTTTGGTCAGAGCTAGGCCATGAACTTGTCTGCCTTCGCAAGATGGGAGTCTCCGTTCAGTTTTGGCATGTGCCTCGACATCTGAACCGGGATGCGGACAAGCTCGCAAACGATGCATTGCGCGAGGATTGCTGGCTGAATCTAGAGTTGGTCGAGAGGAACGATCGCAATATCTCTGTGGCGTCACAGTATTGGTGGGGGTTGCATGAAGCCCACGCTCTTTCAAAAGAGATGGCGTTGCTTCTATTAACAGACATGATGGAGGTTGTAAAGAGAGTCTTTGCGAGGAATGAAGAACTCACTAAAGTACGGCCGTTGAACCCAGAAGTACACACACACTTACGAAGTTAACATTGCTGACCATCACTCTGTTCAACAGATCATCGTCAATATGCGTCACGAGAATGGTTCACGGCACAGTTCTACAGATTTTGCCTAATCTCTACCATAGCTGAGTCCTGCGAATCCGTTTCAGTTGCCTTTCAGCCTCCTGAGAGGTGACCGACCGCCAAACCCTTCTGAAAGACCCTGTTTGAGACTTCCTGTGGGTTTGGCAGCAACGTCTTTCAAAGAATGAATTTCACCACCCAGGTCATTAATGACAAAATATCCTCACAAGGCAGAAGGTACTCTAGTCTCCGCCTTTCCACTTCATCTCGTCGACCACAATCTATCTGCCTGGCTTGTGAGCGAGGCTCTATAAAGCCCACTCAGCATCTCGTAGAATATTCAATACTTTATCCGTCTCACACTTCATCATACTCAATCCTTCGCAAATCGACAACAAATAACACCACCCATCATCCACAATGTCAGTCTGTGACTGCTCCGACGACGCTCCCACCGCGGACGAGGTCCACGCCAGCGTCCAAAAGTACCACCGCGGCTACGAGCCCATTTTCGACTCGGGCTTTACCTCCATCTTTAGCCGCTTCCCACAATCCCTGGCCAGCCGGTTCGACGACCTCACCCACCTCGAAGTTGACACTCTCGACCCTGAAGATGGCGGCACCAAACCCTTCGTCTACCTCCGCTGTCCGGGCCACAACACCGGCTGCGCCTCCTGCGGCTACCACGCCTGCCACATCGACTCTCTCATCGTCGCCATCTCCGGCATCGCCCGCCTCACTGCCACCGGTAACACTGAGTCCGGCCATGGCGTCTACTTTGGCCACCATAGCCCCCACAACATCCAACGCCACGTTGACGAGGAGGACGGCGTTAGGCCGAGCGCCCAGCGCGAGGCTATCCGGGCAGCCATCGCGGGCCTCGATGCCGTTATGCCCTTTTGCGGGGGCGGCGGCCAGTGGGACTGCTCTGGCCACCCCGACGAGCCGCCGTGCATGGTCAAGCATGTCATCTTGAAGACCGAATCGGGGTACCTCGTGGAGACCGTGGGTGGCGGTAAGAACGGGGAGGAGCCGCATGTGCGCAAGTGGCTGAAGAACGGATTCAAGACTGCGTCAAAGCAGCCTGTCAAGAACAAGGACTTGTGGGAGGTTTTGGTGGCTAAGTTGACCGGATTGTTCGACTGGGGCGTTGCTGTTGAGTTTTGGCTTGTTCCGCGCGAGGAGAACGAGAAGGCCACTGCGTTGGCGGGTGCCGGATGTGTGTAGGCTCTTCCGAGGCTTCGCACAAGTTGAATTCACGCATGAGGGTGCGACAGGAGAGTTTATGGTTACGTTGTGATTAGAAAAGTTGACTTTGTATTGCGTCTTATGCATACAACTAGCCACAAACCGGCAGATCTAGGTCGGAAATATGGCTTGGATTATATTAAATGCTTTCAAATCCTCCTGTGACGAAGTGCAGCAGTAGAATTGCTAGGAAGGGGGAGGACCTCAATCACGGGGGTCTCGTAGATCTCCCAGTTATCCGACGCCTTGGGGTTACCGAACGGAACCAGGGCAGCGATACGCATCCTGAAATTCAAGTCAGACACTTGCAAACGCACACTCTTGCAACCAGGAACACTTACTTGTACTTGCCGGGCTTGATTTGAGAGCCGTCGGCGAGCTTGCCGAGCCACCAAGACTCGTACGGAGAGTCGCGCGGCTGGTACTGAAGCGGGTAGGAGAAGGTGTTGTTCACGCTGTCGGTGGCGGGGTCGAAGTTGGGGTAGTTGACTGTGTTGTAGACGTCGAAGGAGGCGACGGAGCCGATGTACTTGTTCTCGCCGACGACGGGAGGGTACGCCCACTCGCGTTCTTGGTATGATGGCTCATAGATCTGGAACGGTATCAGGCACTGGATCTTAGGGTTTAAGGGGAAGGTGTTGAGACTTACATCCCAGCGCAGTTCGCGGGTGCCCCATGTCAGGGCGACTTGGAGTCTGACAAAGTCTTGGGCGGCGAGGGAAAGGTCGAAGGTGAAGCTTCTTTCGTGTTAGCTCATATCATCCCAAGTTGGAAAAGGCAGATGGCTCACCTTGACTTCTCGGAGATGAGAGTCCTGTTGAGTCCAGAAGCGATGCGAGGGTAGCCCATGGAGGTGTAAAACATGTCGACAATGTCGTGCTTGATGCTTCCACCGACGCCTGTATGATGGTCAGAAAAGTCGCGATACGTAGACACCAAGTGACATACCATAGTAGGGCACGGAGAGAACATCACCGTTGCTGGCACTGATGAGGACCTTTCCGCTCCAGATGGGAAGTCTGGAGGAGTTGAGGCCTTGAGGGATGTCGAAAGAGAACCTTGTTACAATGTCAGCCTACCAACCTCGTATCATGACAACGACGAGAAACTCACTTGGCAGTCTTTGTCTCACCAGGCCCAACCTTAAAGGTCCCAGACGGCAGACCAACAACAGCATCGATCTTGAACGGCTCAATCTCGATAAAGTCCTTGATGCGAGGCACACCGATGAGCTCGGGGTTGGAAGCGGCCTCAGGGGTCCAGTACGACTCGAACCCGCCCGCAGCCTGCACCTGGAACCGGTACTCCAGCTCCGTGGTGCCAGTGTTGCTGATGTCGACTTCGTGGTACCGCGAGAAGTGGTTCGTGTCGTTGAGAGCGAACTTAGTCTCCCCGGACAGCTGCGAGGTGGCGTTGAGGACGGCGACGGCGTCGATCAGACCGCTACCGACCTGGATCGGCGGCGCCCAGAAGCCAAAGTCGCGCGTGGTACCGACAGACCAGGGGACGGCGCGGCCGGACGCGATGATGCGATTCGCCAGCGTCTTGGCAAAGCCGGCGCCGTGCACGGAGCGGCCGCCGTGGGCGGAGATGTACAGCGCCGCGACGCCGGCGACGTAAGGGCACGCCATGGAGGTGCCCGACAGGTCGCGGTAGCGTCCGCCGACGAAGGGGGCGAAGATGCGGCCGCCCGGGGCGGTGACGTCGGGCTTCAGCTCGAGGTCGAAGGTGCCGCCCCAGGAGGTGAAGGTGGAGGGCTTGCCGCCGCCGGCGTTGTACATGGCGACGTAGTTGCTGTTTTGGTCGAGGGAGAAGTCGGCGGTGACGTTGCCGCCGGCGATGTACGTCTTGACGATGGCCTCGCCGGCGTCCTTGGAGAGCAGGCCCCAGCGGCTCTGCGCCCAGCCGCGGCCCGAGTGGCCGAGGACGGCGCGGTCGGTGAGGTAGAAGAGCATGAACTTTGCCCCGCGCTCCTGGACCCAGCGCTGGCGCTCCCAGTCCTCGCAGCCCTCGTCGAAGCGGACGAGGGGGATGGTGTTGTTGAAGTTGATGCCCTCGGCGAGGGGCTCGCAGGCGTCGTTCTCGACACTGATGTTGAGGGTGACGGGCACGATGGGCCAGCCGACGATGTCCGCAGGGAAGAGGTCCTCAGGCGGGCGGTAGCCGAGGATGGTGCGGTTGGACTGGCCGTCGAGGTTGAAGGTGCCGGCGAACTGGCGGGCGGAGACGATGGAGGCGTCGGCGGAGCCGATGGCGAGGACGTCCTTGCCGGAGGCGCCGCTGCTGGCGAAGAAGGGGCCGACGTCGCCCGAGTTTCCGGCGGCGATGGTGACGATGACGCCCTGCTGGACGATGCGATCCGCGACGAGGGCCCAGGCGTTGTTGGCCCAGCCGCCGGTGGAGCCGACGGAGGCGGTGATGATGTCGACGCCGTCGGCGAAGGCGCGGAGGAAGGCCTCGATGAGGACCTCCTCGCCGGTGCCCTCGTTGGGGCCGAAGACCTTGTAGGAGTAAATGGTGGCTTCGGGGGCGACGCCGGTGAACTCGGACGACTTGCCGGCGACGATGCCGGCGACGTGAGTGCCGTGGCCGGCGGCGTCCATGGGGTCCTCGTCCGGCTGCCGCTCCTCGCCGGGGTAGGGCCAGTAGTTGTCGTCGCCGACGAAGTCGTAGCCGGCGGCGACCTTGCAGCCGGCGCCGAAGCAGCCGCCCAGGGCCGGGTGGGTGTACTCGGTGCCGGTGTCGACGATGCCGACCTTGACGCCCTTGCCGAGGATGCCCTGCTCGTGGAGCTTGTCGACGCCGGTCATCCAGTGGATGGAGTAGTTGAGCGCGGCGGCGTCGTCGCTGAAGGAGTCCCCGGTGACGACGGGCGCGAGCTGGATTCGACTGGAGTGCCACGCCTTGACGACGGGAAGGAGGGCCTCGAGCGAGTCGGTGTTCTCGCTGTCGGACTCGACGGCGATGCCGCTGAAGATGGACGAGTCGAAGACCTTCAGGACCTTGCTGCCCGCCTTGGTCTCGATCTCCTTGACGAGGGCATCTTTATCGGCTCCCTGGCGGGGGTCAGCATCATGTCACATCTTGAAGTCGCCACTGTGCAGACGCCTTACCTGCTCAAGTTCCAAGATGAACTTCTTGGGCTCAACCGCAGTGTCGTTGGACGGACGGACGTTCTCGTCAACAGCACGGCGGGAGATTTTGGCAACACCCGTGCCGGCCAAAGCCAGCGCGGACACAAGCGCACTCGCAACACGCATGGTCGGCTAAAACAAAACGAATGACAAGACCTCCAAAACGAACGAAGAGGATCTCAGAATTCGGGCGATCGAGCTGAGTGCACAATGCCTGACCTCTCCCCCTTCTCCCGCATCATGAGTTGGCGAAAGCGGCCTTTTATGAATAGCCTTCGCCAACCCGGTCCGAGTCGGAGCCCGGGCAATCACCTCCTCACAAAATCGTCTTTTTGCGTGATGCCATGTTGCGTTGACGATTTTCTCGTATCGAACATCGACGCGGAAGCGCGACCCCGGCAGCTTTGTCCCGTTGCGGCAGCCGACGAGGTGGCATCTCCACTCCCGAGGGAACCTCACCGTGGAAGCCAAGACTCCAACCCGCCATTTGCGATGTTAGGGGCCTTGTAACGACCTGCCATCTTGAGCTTGGTGGTTATCTGCGCGAAGACTGATGAGCGCAGTCCATTTTTGCGTGCAGTGTTGGGGATATTAATATGCATGAGAAACCTTGCGCTAGGCGCATAGGTGCAGATGCCTTCGTATTTGAAGGGGTCCCTTGGGTCCCTGGGGCGTCACCGGTTTTCGGAGCCGGCGGGATGGGATGATGATGATAATGATGAGGTATGTAAGGTCGGGAGAACATGGCTTTTGGCGAGGTCCTCGGGTTAGTCGTGGGCGAATATGGTGCTAGATTGGCGCCTCGGAACGAGCCGTGAAAGGTAGCGTCTATCTTTATTCAAATATGTTCTGAGAACGATAGCGAGTCTAGGGATCTGAGAGGAGCCCGTTTGCCAAGAGTTAGTCCATGGAAACTCAGCACTTAGCGATGTGGTGCCAGCCATTCAACTAGTAAGAGCAAATGCGAATTTGACTTGAACGCGGTAGTTGAGAGGTCATCCGACTACTCGATTGCTTCAGACCTCGAGTGCTGGCGGCTAGGAGAGAAGACCATGTTTGCTTTTCCCGAAAATGAGGAGATTCCGTGAGCCGGCAGGGGGGGGAATCATGCCCTTGCAGCTCTTGGTGTCTTGGCAGGAACATCTGACAATGTTACGTACAAGGAAGCCAACTTCTCAAATTCGATACTCAAGACCGACAAGACCAGGCCCGACTGCGTTGATGCTTAGCAAAAAACGTCGAATCGGCGGCATTGGGGTTTGCTGACTGCATCTGCGAGAATCTGTAGTATGGAGTCTTGGCATCACGGCACGGCGCTTGTCAGACTCCATACCCCAAAGCTGCCAAAGTCTGGTTCTTCCAATGGGGTAATTTGGAGATGACTCTCTTGGGACTGTTGTTTGGATGCACACATCCATCAGCCAGAGTCCGAGGTGAGGGTTGCATTCGAGGCGCGATCCCCGCGTTTTCGTTTCTTGGTTGCTGACGGCTGAATTGTTGTTGGCTGGTTTTTCGGAACGGAGCGTTTGGTGCAGATGACCGTTTAGGAAGAAGAGAAGTCTGGGCAATGCGACGTTGTAGTTGTTTAAAAAGACGAAGAGGTTCCTAGGATGCATGGAGGAGAGGAGGGTTCGCGATGGAGGTGCCTTCACTGCGATTTTCCGTCATGATGCTTCGGTCGACTGTGGCGCTTGCGGGCGTGCTCGCGACGCTGGCGGTGCCATCGGTCGTCGCGAGACCGATGCTCTTGGAATCTGCAACGATTCTCGAGAGAACGGAACAAGTGAGAGATGCGTATGACTATGTCATCGTCGGAGCTGGTACGGCCGGGTTAACGGTTGCCGACCGGCTGAGCGAAGACGGGAAGAGTCAGTGACGAGGCCTTTTGGAAGATGAGGCGCTGCTTACAGTCGACATAGACTCCGTTCTAGTGATTGAGTACTGCCACCTCAGTGAGTAGTTTCGCGCTGATGTCCCCTCCGAAGTTCCCCCCTGATGTCTTTTTTAGTATCGGACGAGGTCATCGAAGCTGGCAAGGGTCGCAACTTCAACGACCCCGGGATCCAGTACAACATCACCTCAGTCCCACAGCACGAGATGAATAACCGAACGCAGTTTGTTTGGATAGGATGCTGCGTTGGAGGTAGCTCTGCCATCAACGGGATGGTCATGGTGCGCGGGACCAAAATTGAGTACGATGGCTGGGCGGAGTTGGGAGGGCCCGGCTCAACTTGGGACTGGGACGGCGTCTTGCCGTATTTTAAGAAGGTGAAACCATACACACATCTCTTATAGGTGCTCGCCACTGATGTTGACTCCAGGCCGTCCACTTTACCCCTCCCGAGGAAGAGCTCGCCGAGGCGTTCAACATCACCTGGGACCCGGAAGCCTGGGGGATGGAGGAGAACACCAAGATCTTTGCCTCGTTCCCCGAGTACCAGAACCCGACGCTGAGTTTGTGCAATCAGAAATTTCAGACAGGAGACAAAAAGCTGACTGGTTTGTAGTCCCCACCTACCAAGCCGTCAAGAAGATGGCGCGGATGGAGGTGCCCCTGGACGGCGCCGGCGGCGACAACGGCCTCTTCTGGTTCCCTTCATCCATCGACCCCAAGACGCACAGACGATCGTACTCGCGAACAGGTCACTACGATGGCATCCAGAGACCAACCTTTGACGTGATCACACGGCACAAGGTCCGGCGGGTGCTCTTCGACGGCACTGCAGCGACCGGGGCCGAGTTCTTCTCCCGCGACGGCGATACACGCTCCGTCACCGTCAAGGCTAACAAGGAGGTCATCATCGCCGCGGGCGCCGTGCACACCCCGCAGATCCTGCAGCTCAGCGGCATCGGACCGAAGCCGCTCCTTGACGAGGCCGGTATCCCGGTCCTGCTGGACATACCCGGCGTGGGCCAGAACTTCCAGGACCACGCGTACCTCAGCGTCGGGTACGAGTGGGGGAAGAACGGCAGCGGCCCCAGGGGCCCCGAGGTGCCGGCGAACGGCGACCCGTGGAGCGTCGCGGCGCCGAACCTGGGCGCGTGGATAGGGCTGCCGACGATGACGGAGGCCTTCGAGGAGATTGCCGCGCGGTACGAGGCGCAGGACCCGGCGGCGTTCCTGCCCGCGGACACGCACCCGACGGTGGTCGCGGGCTACGCGGCCTTCCAGAAGCTGCACGCCAAGCTGCTGCGCAGCAAGAACACGAACATGATGTGGCTGCCGCTGATGGGCGGTGCGGGCGGGATCGTGATGAGCATGCACGTCGTGAGCCACGGGACGATCAACATCGACCCGGCGGACCCGGAGGCGGAGCCGGTGGTGGACTACCGCGCGCTGAGCAACCCGACGGATCTGGACGTCATGGTTGAGGAGATCGAGTTCATGCGGAGGTACATGGACAGTCCGGACTTTGCGGAGTACGAGCCGCGGGAGACGTCGCCGGGGAGGAATGTGACCGGGGAGGCGCTGCGGAGATGGATACGGGAGCAGTATATCCCGACGAACTTCCACCCGATTGCGACGGCGGCGAAGAAGCCGCTTGAGATGGGCGGGGTGGTGGGGGAGGATCTTGTGGTGCATGGGACGGAGAGGTTGAGGGTTGTTGATGGGAGTATCATGCCGATGCTGCCTGGGGCGAATACGCAGCAGACGGTCTACATGCTGGCTGAGAAGGTGAGTTATCCTTGGGTGAGAAAGTGAACTTGAGTGGTGTACTGACATCGTGAACAGGCAGTCGATTTGATCAAATCCAGACAGTGAGTGAAGCTGTCTGGCCGTTTGAATGTCAACGTGAGCTCAAGAGCAGCAGGCACACGCATGCAGTACTAAAGAGAGCAATCGGGGCTTGTAAACACCTGACTTGCCGAATAGTTTCTCTGCTAAAGAAACAAAACAACTGGCTCTTTCTCCTTTCATCCAAAGCTAGATAGACATGCGTATTCTCTGTTACCGCCACGGACTCCGAGCACATGACCATAATGCCTCAAATACGCACCCTCATGCGCTAGTCCGCACTGCAAAACGCTTCTTCAAGTCCATACTCTTCAAGCTTGAGAGCCGGATCAAATTTGATGCGCCTGAGCCAATCCACCGACACTTTCCCGTCATCTGTAGATGGGCAAGGGGGTTTCCCAAGCCCATATTCGCCAATGCGTCCGCGCCTCTAGGTTCTGGTCTCGAGGAACATGCCAGAACTGAACCACAGCACAGCGGAGGCTGGTTTCCATCAACTCACGCAGCTGCTGCCAAAGATGGCCGTGATCCAAGCAACCGCGGTCAGATTTGCCAGCCTCAGAAGCGTAGTGTAAGACAAGAGACCGCCGTGCTTCTGTTCCGCATGTTGTATCGACAATGTACTCCGACGCGGTCTGTATAATGACGTGCTTCAGCGTAGTAGGCACGGAGCCGTTTGCTGCATCTTCCGCAGGTTGGCCTTGATCTATTAAAGGGATGAGGGAACTGAGAGCGGCGATGACGGCGTGCAGCTCAGCGCGGTGCTTCGTGTGACGCAAGAGCAGTTTCTCGCCTCCCTCCTGGACGTGGTACATGGTGGGCACCGCCAGGCTGAGGTTAAAGGGGTTGTTGGGGCCAAAAAAGACGCCAATCGCGGACTTGTTGGGGCCGTTGGCCGAATATGCGCTTTCGACAGCGATGATCAGAGAGTCGCAATGCGAGGCACGACGAAGGGTGCCGGGGTCCTGGCGATAGCAGCGACGATGGACGAAACGGCCGCCATTAGGGTCGATGGCGGGACCGGGCGATTCGAGAAAGGCGAGGTCGCCTTGGTACACATCCGCGTAGGAGTCTGGAAATCGAGCAGCAAGGCAGAGAAAGTTTGTTCCAGGCACGAAGCAAGTCTCGTGGTCTGAGTGGGTGGCGGTGGAATTAGAAAGCATCATGTCGGTTATGCGCTGCACAGAGGCCTGTTGTGGTGGCATCATGAGCTCGTCGCAGCAGATCTATCTGCGTGTAGCAGCAGAAAGAAGAATGTAATATTGATCGGAAGATGAGCTTGAGACTCTGAAAGTTGTGAAGAGTAAGAGAAATATCTTGAAGAGGAGGGGCCGGGGGTAGAGAAAAGGCCCTGGTTCCGTGCAAACGAGTTGGATTCAAGTGCTCTGTCAGAGCTCCGTTTGCACGAATCCCGCGCCAACCACTCAGACAACCTCATCTGAGTCACTTCGGCTCCTTCTTCACCGTCGGGAAAGGGCCATACGCGTTTCTGAAGCTAGCCATCATGTCTTCTGCCGCAGCCCGTCTGGATTGCCCCGCAGTCGCAAGCTCGCGAGCCGCCTGGTTCTCAGCCTTCGGCACCAGCCAAACTCAACAAACGAACCCAGACTCTGCAAATCTCGCAGGCGCTGCAATATTTCCTGCCAAAGGTCGAGATTCTTTATGCTCAAACCTTGGGCAGTCACGAAGCCGTTCGCCATCCACGTCTTCATGTACGGGGACTGTCCCCGTTTGCCGCCTCCGACCGCCTCGACGATGTAGGATGAATGAGACTTCACCACCACATGGGTCACCCTGCACTGCTTGTCCACGCTTGTGGCACTACCCCAATGTCCCCCCTTCTCACAGAACGGCTTCACGGCATCGAGGGCGGCGATGGCGGCGTGGAGCTCGGCGCACTGGTTCGTGTGCGGGGTGGCGGGTCCGGAGTCGACCTTGAAGCCTCGGGTCTCGCGGCAGCTGTCGCCAAAATACACGCCGCAGGATGAGCGCTGAGCGTCTCCGGTGCCGTTGTTTGGACAGGCGCCTGCGATGGCGACGATGATGGAGGACCGGTCTGGGGCGGATGTTCTTGGGCGGCGGATGTGATGGAACCCACGGGGGCCGGTGATGTCGAGGTGACTGAAGTCCTGATTGTATTCGACGGAGCGGGAGATCGGGAAGCGGCCGAAGGTGAGCTCTGCTTCGGGAAAACGAGACGGAGGCGCGCCGGGATGGCGGATCATGCGCTTTTTGGTGTCATGGACGCTGGACTGGTCAAGATTGTCAGGACTGTCTCTTGGGCGCTTCCGTGAGCTGTTCCCGTATGGAGGAGTCCCGGGATCCGGCTTTATGACTTGGCTAGGAGACATTGGTTCTCGTGAATTTGTTGACGGATGAGCATGTGCTGATTGTCGGTCTGTTGTCGAGCCTCATTACCATTCAAAGCGACGTGAGGCGTAAAAACTGCCTCATCCATCCGTTTCTCGAGCAGATGAGATGAACCTACCCCACAACTCTGTGACGGCGGGGGCCTTTGATCTCATTGGATCGTCACCATCTCTAGAATCTATATTGCTTTTTCTTGTATGCCGTTATCAGCGCTCACCGAATTCTACCGACCATCTCCTTCGGTGAGGTTTGTTGGCGGTGTTCTGTTGTGAGGTCATTTTGCCCTGTCTGGAGGACTACGTCGTGAGTCGTCCGACCATGCTGCGTCGAGAATGACTTGGTTCAATAACAGTTGTTATTTTCTGATCTTTCGCAGCCTCCCTGTCGATTTGACATTCCTTCGGTGTGAGGTTACATCAGTGTGGAAGGTAAGAAGCCGAGGAAGGTAAGAGCTCCTGGCTCAACCACGCACCGCTGGGAGCGATAAGATAAGGACTCGGAGAAATTGTTAGTGCAGCAGCTCGTATTCACACCTTCCATCATCACCAATACGCAAAACGACCTGGATACGGTCATATCAAGACATCCGCTGTTAAAACCTCCGGCTTGGCGTCAAACAAAACACTTTGTCCGCCCGCGTCGAACCAAAATCTCACCGTCATGCTTCCTACCTTGTCCTGCACGCTACTGCAGCGTCGACGATCACCGGCGTCAGCACCATGAACCAACGACCTCCCCAACCTCACCAAACGACAGCTCATAGCTCTCGGGTTGTACGAAGCTGCCGATATCTTCGCACGGCTCGGCGTTTATGTCTTCACAAACTCCTCGGGGTCGGTTCCTCAAACCGCCAGGCTGAAGAGCGTTGGGATGGGTTTCCCTGACTGATCATGCCGGAGAGCCGACCGCCGCAAGGATCACCGCATTTCCATCGAGTCTCAAGAAGAGATGAACAGCCATAGCCACGGCCACGTCCAAATCCGCGTATACTGCGACAGAAAGATGTCAACTATACCCATCCGTATTCGCTGCGAAAAGAAACCCGATGAAGTTCGCACCATCGCATACTTGCTTCTCCTCAAACACGAAAAGGAAGAAGTCTTGCAAGTTGCCGCATTCTTGTGCAGCACTCAATCTCAAACAAGCAAACGTTCTCCCGTCCGAGCCATGTTAAACCAAGCGGCCAAAACCTTCGGATTCGCGTCATCCTTACGCCCCGCATTCGTATTCCGCCATCTCTCAGCGGCTCACCACCAGCGCCCTAGCAAGAATTCCCCGCAATCTCCCGCGGGCACCCCCTTGATCAGCGCAACGAATGCCACAAATCACTCTTCGTTGCACCGCCCTGTGGACGCTGCGAGTCCCGTATTCGGGACCGCCCGATGCCCTCATAGGCTAACTGCTCGAGGGGGCAGGGGAGGAGCCCCCGCGGGTCGTAAAGGACCAATTTGCTCGCATTCTCTTAAAATCGCTGGCCCCTTGATTCGAGGCCCTTCGTTTCCTGAACACTCCCCCCCCACGGTGCTACCGCTCGTATACGAACCCGAACCCGTCTCTCGCCGTCGCCGTTGACGAGGACGCCGCAACCTCACTTTCCCTAGCGATCCACCAACGCAAAGAACGTCATTTCGCACACCGCCCAGTCGGTTGGCGACAGTCGCTGAACGATGGAGAAACGCACCCGACGGCTTGGGCACAAGAAGTCGAGGAACGGGTGCGTGCGATGCAAAGCCCGCCGTGTCAAGGTACGATGAACTGTGATGCCGCAGGAAGTTGAAGTTCAAGCAAGAATTGCTTAGCTTGGAACATGAGAGAGCGAGATGGTTTTTTGACGCGCGTTCTTTTCTTTTCCAGTGCGATGAGAACAGGCCATGCCACCGCTGCGTCGCACACGGCGCGCATTGCAGCCTTTTGGACACTCACCCGGCCGTGACCGCGCCTCTCACGCCGCCGACAACGACAACCTCAAAGTCGCCTGGAGTAGGAGGATACGTCCCGATACAAGCCTCGCATGAGGCAGCGCCGACGCCAGCGCCAGCTCCGGCTCCAGCTGCTGCTGCAAGCGATGTCAGTATTACACCCACAGCAGGTGAGTACTCAACAGGATGAACGGCGATCTGCAAGCACCTCCTTTGGTGCGTGTTATGTGCCTGTCGTTCATGTCACCCTCAACGTTCCGAGGGGCGCTTGGCTAACGAGCAAACTTTCATTCGGGGAGAAAAGTGAATAGCACGTCACCATACGCAGGCGACCCGGCACTCGTCGACCCCCGCAACCAACACCACCACTCTGCCTCCTCCGCCGGCTCAGCGGCCCCAGATCCAGGGTTGGACCTCCTATCGGAGGATTGGCTGCAAAGCCTGCGCTTAATGCACCACTACAGCACCGTGACATGCAACGCCCTGCCGTCGGATGCCTGCACTGAGGAGCTGTGGAAGACGGCTATTCCCGAGATGGCATGCTCCCATGTAAGTTTTGTCTTTTTTGCCTTTCTCTGCCCACTGCCCACTTCCCCGGGATGCTCCCCTCCCTGGCCCATGGGTTGGTTGGTGGTGAGAACTCTATCTCGATATGGAAAACAACCCCCTAACAACCTCCAAAGAAGTTCCTCATGCACGGCTTGCTGGCCGTCGCAGCGCTGCACTACGCCCACGTCCACCCGGCCGAGCGCCGCAAGTGGGATCTCATCTCGGTGCACCACCAGAACCTCGCGCTGCGCTTCTTCGCCGCCCGCCTCAACGACATTGACAAATCCAACTGCGAGGCCTACTTCTTCCTCGCCTCGCTCATCTTCATCGTGAGCGTCTACTCCGTCGCGCACTCCGAGACGGTCGGCCGCGCCGTCGGTCTCGGCGACGTCGCCCAGTCCTTCCGCTTCCTGCACGGCGTCAAGGGCATCCTCGACTTCCAGCCGCTCGAGGAGTGGCGCCAGAGCGGCGGCCCGCTGGACATGCTCCTGCGCTCGCCCGAGATCCCTCCCGGCATGATGAACGCCGGCAGCGCGTTCCAGCGGCGGCTTGACGCGGTCACGGCACTCGCAAGGGAGGTACCCGCCTCGTTTCACGATGTTATTAACGAGCAGAGCGTGTGCGTGCTGGCGCTTGAGAGCTTGCGGCGCTCGCATCAGATCGTCTCGGCGGCGGGCGACGGGGATGCCATGCCCGGGGGTGTGTGGGGATGGTGCGTCACGCTGCCGGCGCTGTTTATCGAGATGATTGGGAGCGGGCACGCGACGGCGCTGGTTATACTGGCGCACTTTGCGGCCTTGTCACGGATGTGTGAGCGGCGGGACGACTGGGCGTGTTCCGGGTGGAGTATGGGGGTGATGCTTATGGTTGACGAGGTTATCGACGACGAGTGGAGGCCGTGGATTGAGTGGCCCAAGAAGAGCATGATGGAGCAGATCAGTGTTGATGAGATGGAAGTTTGAATTGATACCCCTGTGATGCCTAATAACCCGACCCTATGGATGCTTTACGCGCTAAGAAATAATGACATTCTGAGATTCTGCGTGTGATGAAAGAGATTGGAAATGTGCCGCAAACACAACCACTTAGATTTTCCTGATCATGACAGTCTTCGTGGGGTCGGGGACAGACTGTTGTTCCATTTTGTCAGCCATCATCTCATGTTGCATCGAAAAAACAAAGAGTTTCCACTTACACCCGCGCCAAACTTGATATTCTCGTATCTCTCGGTGACACCGTCCGGGAGCTTGATCTCGTAATTGCAGAGGATGTTGGCCATGATCATCTTGATCTCGTTGACGGCGAAGAAGCGGCCGGGGCAGGCGTGGCGGCCGTAGCCGAAGGTGAGGTGGGACGTGCCGACGCTGACGAATTGGCTGTTGGCGACGACCTCTGCGGCCTTGGAGCCGGACTCGGCGGCGTCCTTGGCCTGGCGCAACTTGTAGTAGCGCAGAGCGTCGAAGACGTCGGCGTCGGGGAAGATCTCGTCGTCGAGGTTGACGCCGCCGGCGGGGATTTCGATGACGTTGTCTGGGGGGATGACTTGGCCGTTGGGGAGCTTGATGGCCTTGAGGACCTTGCGTGAGAAGGAGCCTATTGTGTGGTTGTTAGTTTTGTAGAAGGGGACTTTGGGCAAGGGGGGTTTAACGGACCGGCGCCAAGAGGGGAGCATCGGAGGACCTCGCGCAGGAAGCTGTCGAGCTTCTTCATGCTCTGCAATGCCGGGCTGGAGAACTGGCCGCCAGACTCGAGCAGGGCTTGCTGGACGTCATCTCTCAGGATCGGGATCAGTTCGGGCTTCGCGGCAAGCCAGTAGAGGGCGTTGGTCGTTGTCAAGGAGGTGGTGTGGATGGCGGCAAAGCTGATGCCCAGCTGGTTTTGCGCCAGCTGGCGGTTAGTCGACTGTCCAAACTTTGACTGGGCGTTCATCATCCACTGGAGCATGTCGTCGGGCTCCTGGTAGTCGTCGCCGCCGGTGGCCTTGGCCTGCTTGCGGGCATCGACGATGGGGCGGAAGACGGCCTCCGCCTCCGCGATGCGGCGGTTCAGCTGCTTGACCTGGGGCAGGAAGCGGGCGAGGATGGGGCGCAAGGGACCAGGGAGGAAGGCGACGACGTGGACTGCGGTCATGAGGTCGATGGTGTAGTTGATGGAGGCGTCGATGTAGCGCTCGTCTCTGCAGAGTTCGGGGCCGATGAAGACACGGCCGGAGGCCATGGCGATGATGCGGAGCAGCTTGGCGTTGATGTTGACTTCGGTCCATTCGGTGGACTGCGGGAGCTCGAGGCGCATGGATTCGACGACTTCATCGGAAATGAGGGCATTGAGGCGGGCTGACTTTTGTGTTAGTGTGGCAGTTCTTACGTTGGATGTGAAGATGACAGGCAACCTACGGAGTGCGGGAGTCAATGAGGCCTTCACGGTGTGTACCACGAGAGGCGTGTCACTCTCGATCTTGGTGTACTTGACTTGCATGGACTCATGAATGGCCTCGTCAAAGCTGAGAACATCGTCGGGAAGCTTCCTCAATTCGGGAAGATACTTTGGCGGGACGCAGATAGTGTCACGCTCTGCGGCAAGTTAGCGGGATGCTAAGGTAGGATAGCGCGGGGCAGACGTACTCCTCAAAGTGCTAACGCGGAAGATGCTGTCTTTGAACTGTAAGATAGATTAGCGATGCCATCAGCGCCAAAATAACACAGAGAACTCACCTTCCGGTAACCTTCAATGTAGTAGTCGGAGCCTTTTCCCGCAGCAAACTCCTTCCGCTTCTTCCATGCCCCTCCTTGTCCTCCAACGACAGGGACGTTCGCCAAGGGGTCATTCTTGAAGAAGCTCTGCGCTAACCAGGCGAAGAGGATAAACACAAAACCCGCAGTAGCTGCCGGCAAGTGCTTCGATAAGTACTGGTCAAAGACGCCTGACGAGGCGAGGGCTTCGGTCACGTTGGCCATGATGGGTTGATGGTCGATGCGAGTCGGGACGGGGAGGAGGGGCTGGTACTACAGACGAACTGACAGGACCCTCGCCTTATGTAGTCGATCCCATCTTCTGGAAGCGCAACACAGCATGGGTTCCGCTTGAGGTCGGGACGGCATGGGCAATGGGGGTTACGTAGGACCGGCAGACGGCGTATGGTCCGTCGCGAGCCCCTGAGGGCCAGCGCCAACAGGTCCACCGACGACGGGCCATGGCTCCCCGCATAAGCGCATTTCCAGCGCCTTTGATTAGAGCAGCGGTGGCCAAGGGTCCACTGATGTTGGTGTACACTGCACAGTAGCACTCGCGTGGGAGGGCGTTAGTTGGAACCGCGATGCTTGGATTGCTTGGTGATGCAGATCCTTGGTGTTTGACGGGCCTGGGGACATGGGTGGACGGTCGGGTTCGCGTTCGGATTGTGGGGTGTCTCGTATCCAATGGAAATTGGCCGCTGCTTGAAAGAGATGAACCTGCAGACTGCAGTCAGTCCGCTTACCTAAGGTCGTCTTTGTTCGGGACCTGGAGATGGTTTCTCGGAACATCTGTATCACCACTGCCGACAGCCGAGGTACTTCCGTCCCGCCGCGCATGAACCAAAAGCTATGACCACCTGTTTTGGCCCCCAAGTGGGCCATTATGTCATCAACCGCAGAAGCACACTATCGGCGTTTAATCTTGTCTTACTCGGCTCCGTACCATCCCCGTTCCTGAGCGGCGGTAAACTGGAAGCGTCGGGCCCCTCCGGTTCGTCGCCTGTCTTTCTTCCCTTTGTCCAAAACCGGTTCCGTGTCTTGAACAGTCGTTTTTGTCTACACCTCGATTTTCAACCGTCTGCGATATAAAATCCGGCCGGATGCGGACCATGGCCTCGCCTACACGAAACACGATGCTGTTAACCGGAGATTTCACGTGAGAGGTCAGGTGCAGCAGGATTTGGCGCAGTAATCAACTACCTTAGCGAATTGACCTGAAGCGGTGAATCGGAACCTGTACCCGTACGACCTGTACCTTTACGGCGCGTAGTCAACAAACCTCCAACCAGCAACCTCAACGTCTCCTCTGGCTCACGACCCCGCGGCTGAAGCCTGAATGGTGCCGCAACCACGGTACCACACGTTGCAATCCTGGTTAGCCAGCTGCCACACTTCTCACCCGTCATGGGCAGCTCTGCAAACTTTGACGATGCCCGCAACCTGGGTGGCCAACGCGTGGCCCTGTACGGCTATGCAGCCCTTCAAGATGTGCTTGGAGCTCCGGCTCTGCATGCCTTCCCGCATGCAAAGATTGGAAACGCCTCCTGGGTCTCGGCAGAATCTCTCGATGCCGTCAAAGTCATGGAGTTCACCAACCTCGTTCGCGCCGCCATAGCAGCTTTCCTGTGGTGTCTGGTCGCTGCTCGTCCGCTGATACGCCATAGACCGTCATGGTGCAGTGCCTTCGCCCAGGAATCCCATTTTTCAAGCGCTTTTCACACCCCTCAGAAGAAGAAATGTACGCATTGGACCGTCTATCTCATCGTCGTTGCCGCAGCCGGGCTGCTTCAGGCGACTTTTGCAGCAGTGGCTCCTCCGCGGAACCTCTTCATTATTTCGGACCTGATGCCTTGGGTCGGTGCAGTTCTCATCACTGCCATTGACCGGCCGTCAAAGACCCCAAAGACTCTCCTCTGCCTGTATCTCAGCATATTTGCCTGCGGTATCGTTTCGACCGCTTTCAGCTACAAGCTTCACGGTTACATCTCCATCCCCACAGTCGTCGACCCTCTGATCAGCCTTGTCGCACTCATGGGCATCGTTGCGATGCCAATGCGCGACCCCCGGCTTGGTGACGACGGTATAGCTCACTCCGACCCCAGTTACGAACTTCGCAGCCCCGAAGATAACCTCACTTTATGGAAGTTCATGACGGTATCGTGGATGGGGCCTCTGATTGCCAGGGGCTCCGAGAAACAGCTCCACGATGAGGACGTCTGGCAGCTACCCTTCGATTTCCAGCATGACCGGCTTCATACCCTCTTCCGCGATCTTCGTGGCTCGATGATGACCAAGCTCATCTCGGCCAATGGCATGGACCTCATCATCCAGTCGTGCCTAGGAATCATCGAGACCGCCGCAAACCTGTCTATTCCGATCTTGCTGAAGCAGCTCTTGCAGTCAATCCAAGGCGGCGATCAGAACGTGGAGGTATCTGTTCTCTACGCAATCGCAATTCTTGCTGTCCGTCTTGCTGCTTGTCAGTCGGCGGTCTTCCAGCTATGGTATTCGAGACGCTGCTACGAGAGATCTAGAGGTGAGATGATCACCACCCTCTACGCTAAGACCCTCTCTCGGAAATTCTTCGGTCAACCTGCTGCGGAGCAGATGCTTGCTGGCGACGGAAATGCAAATGGCGATGCCAATCACGACGACGCCGACGACAGCAACGCAGAAAGCGAATCTGCAAGCCGGTTTCGCAAGATCATGTCTTGGTTCCGGTCACCAAAGAAGAACAACCCCAAGTACAAGAAGGTGCAAGAACACAGACAGCCTGCTACCACGGGAAAGATCCTGAACCTCATGAGGAGTGACGTCTACGAGGTTGCCCAGCGGTTTTGGGAATTTCCCACTCTCGTCACGAAGCCGCTTCAGTTTATCCTGTCCTTCGTCCTCGTTTGGCAGCTCCTCGGCTGGCCTTGTATTTTGGGCATGGCCTGCGTCATTGTTGCGCAAGTTTTGAACACCATTTTCATCGCACAGCTTCTCAAGAAGGAACGCCTCCGAAGGGCTGCAACGGACGCAAGGCTGCAATCGACATCCCAGTTTGTTGAAGGCATCAGACACCTCCGCTGGTATGACTGGCAATCCAAGTGGCTGGACAGCATCATGGTCACCAGACAGCACGAGCTCAACACCAGAATCGTTACGGGTCTTTGGAGGATTGCCATCGCCACCATCAACATCGCTTCCGGGACCCTTTTCCCCGTGGCTACTTTCTTCGCTTATACGTTCTTGGCTGGCAAGACTCTCACCGTCGACGTGGCCTTCCCAGCTCTTCAACTGTTTGCCATGCTGGAGACCAGCTTCAAGGAGCTGCCCAACCTTATCACCGTAGTTTTGAACGCATCTATCGCCATGGGCCGTATCGAACAGTTCATGGGCGAGCCTGATAAGGATGGCGTGTACGCTGACCATCTGACCAACGACATCAAGTTCACCAAGGCCTCTTTTGCCTGGCCTGGATATGAGCGTCCAGTGTTGAGAAACCTCGACCTGACCTTTCCCCAGGGTCTCACCGTTGTCTTCGGCAAGGTTGGCTCAGGAAAGTCGGCGCTGTTGCAGGCGATTCTCGGAGAACTGGATCGCCTAGTGGGCGACGTTATTATCCCAACCGAACCGATCGGCTTCTGCGCTCAATCCCCGTGGCTTCAGCACATGAGCATTCGCGACAACATCTTGTTCTCGGCGCCTTTCGACGCTGCTCGGTACACCCAAGTACTCGATGCTTGTGCATTGCTTCCTGACCTGGCCAACTTCAAGCATGGCGACTTGTCTGACATGGGCGAGAATGGCATCGGGTTGTCGGGTGGTCAAAGAGCCCGAGTCGCGCTCGCACGAGCTGTGTACAGCCAGTCGCGGGTGCTACTGTTGGACGACCCTCTCGCTGCATTGGACCACAACACCGCCGAGTCCATTGTCAAGAAGCTTTTCCAGGGTTCTCTTGTGGAAGGTCGCACGGTTGTCCTTGTCACTCACAGAGTCGATTTGTGCCTCCATCTCGCTCAGCAGATGGTCGAAATCGTCGACGGCACGGCACGCGTTTTGAGCTCGGAAGAGGCATCCAATGAGATCGCGAAGTTCCTCCTTGAGGATGATGACCAGACGGCCTATCAAGATGAGCAGGAGAACACGATCGATGAGACTCAGCAGAACGCTGCGATCCCATCCAAGTTCATTGAAGACGAGCACCGAGCCCACGGCGGAGTCATGTTGTCTGTCTACTGGACTTATATCAAGGCGGGCAAGCTTAAGTGGTGGGGCGCGCTTGTGCTCGTCTTTGGTCTCTTCAGATTGGGCAGCCTCCTCAACTACTGGTTTCTCAAGGCTTGGGGCGAGTCGTATAACGAAGAGACCTCTGTGGAGGTCGCCTCGGCTGGCGTGGACTTTTCCCATCTCTTTGACCAGCTCCCGAGCCCCGACGACGACCTGCGCCCGTGGCTTTTTGTTTATCTGGGAATCGCGATTTTCCAGGCTCTCATCTTCACCGTGTCTGAAGGTCTCGCCCTGCTCATGATCTACAAGGCCGCCAAGAACCTGTTCCGCCGGGTCATTGAGAAAGTCAGCCGGGCCACCTTCCGGTTCTACGACGTCACTCCCGTCGGACGCCTCATGAACCGCCTCGTCTCAGATATTGGTATGATTGACGGAGGTATCATGTCTCCCTTGCAACAGGTGGCTTGGTGGTCCCTGGCCTGGTTCTCGAGTATGGTAGTCATTGCCTCCGTTACCCCGCTTTTCCTTCTCTTTTCCGTCGGAATGACTCTGTGGTTCGTTTACGTCTTCATGCGCTTCCTACCGACGTCGCAAAGTCTGCGAAGATTGGAGATGGTCTCGCTGAGCCCGCTGATGTCCAACTTTGGCATTCTCCTTGATGGTTTGGCGACGATCCGTGCCTTCAAAGCCCAGCACCACTTCCAGAACATGAACATCGTGGTCACCGACGCCTTTCAGAAGATGGATCACTTCTACTGGAGCTTGCAGGCTTGGCTGATGTACAGATTCGACGCCCTATCTGCCCTCTCGACCTTTGCGCTTACTCTCCTCGCGCTCTACAAAGGACTGTCGCCGGGTTTGACGGCTTTTGTCCTCACCACCGCCTCGTCCTTCGTCGAGGCAACCCACAACCTCTGTAAGCAGTACGGTACCCTTCAAATGGACTTTGTGTCCGTTGAGCGTGTAATCGAGCTTCTTCACATTCCAGAGGAGCCCTGCGGAGACACCAAACCTCCCGCCAGCTGGCCTCACCACGTTGACGACGTTAGCTTTGATAACGTCACACTGAAGTACGCACCTCACCTTGATCCCTCGTTGTCAAATGCCACCTTCACCATCCCCGGCGGATCGACCTGCGCCGTTCTGGGTAGAACAGGGTCTGGTAAGTCCACCCTGGCCCTCGCGCTCCTCGCAACGATCCACCCGTCCGAGGGTTGCATCCGCATCGGTGAGTACAAACTCTCCGATGTAGACGTCCACGTGTGGCGGCAGAGAGTCAGCTTCGTCGCGCAAGATCCGGTCCTCTTCCCCGGCACGCTCCGTGATAACCTCGACCCGCTGCATCAGTATACCGATGTCGACTGCATCGGAGTTCTGCATCGCGTCTTGGGTCCCGATTGGGATCTCTACATGCATATCGAGGGCGGCGGCAAGAACCTGAGCCAGGGCCAGCGTCAGCTCGTCGGTATCGGTCGGGCTGTCCTCCGACGGAGCCCGATCGTTGTGCTGGATGAGGCGACGGCGTCGATTGACAAGGAGACGGCCGCTAGAGTGCAGGAGGTGCTGAGGAACGAGTTGACAACCAGCACCGTCATCACCATTGCCCACCGTCTCGAGGCAGTCCAAGATGCCAACTACTTCATTCGTTTGGATAAGGGTAAGGTGGCCGAGCACGGGCCGACGCAAGGCTTGAATCAGTAGACGATTTGCATTCGATATTGTTGGCATATATATATGAAGTTTGTTGGGAGATTTCGGGGGGTTGTATAGATTTTGGTCATCATCTTAGCCAGTTTGAATTTTAGTCATTTTTCACAAGCTTGATGTCACATTCTTCCATGGAACCGATAGCGCGTAGCGCAACATTCACACCATAAAAGGGAGACACCACGTTGGTTTTGTCCAGTCGCTGGATTGAAGCTATCTTCTCAACACCCGCCATGCTTTGAAAGGTTGACGTACACAAGTTGCCTTCTCGTACCCTCTATACCAAATCAAAAGAAATCATACAAAAACAGACCCCAAGAACGCCCCGTTTAACATTTCAGCCAGAATCAACATTTCAGCCAGAAGGAGAAAAAAGCTTTTACGCCTTGAAGAAGTCCTCGACAGCCTTGGTGAACTGGTCGGGGTCCTGGAGGGGCGCGAAGTGGCTGACGCCGGTGAGGATGGTCATCTTGCTGCCGGGGATAGCCTTGTTCAGGATGCCGGGGACGTCGAGGTTGACGGCCTCCTCGTGCTCGGCGCCGGCGATCATGACCTTTGCGCCGTCGATGCCGCCGAGCTGGGCGTCGGTGAACTGCGGCAGGGTGCCCTCCATGACGGAGACCTTAGTGGCGAACTCGGTGAAGTTGGCGCCGGGCTGGAGGGTGCCGTACTCGGTCCTGCAGCGGGAGACGAGCTCTGTGAAGACGGCGGTGTCGCTGAAGGTGGCGTTGGTCTGGTCGGGCTTGGCGGAGGCGCCGAAGACAAACGCCTTGTTGATGGGCTTGGTGAGGGTGGCGTCGATGAGGGCGGCGAGGGTGGTGATGCCGCCGTCGGACCAGCCCACGACGTTGTAGGTGCTGACGCCGGCCTCGGTCAGCAGGGCCTGGATGTCCTTGGCCATCTGGTCGTAGGTGAAGACGTCGTCCTTGTTGTAGGTGGTGCGGCCGTGGCCGCGGCGGTCGAGGGCGATGACGTAGTGGCCGTTGGCGACGAGACGGGAGATGACGGCGCCGAAGTAGGCGGAGTAGCCGAGGCCGCCGTGGTCCATGACGATGGGGACGGCGCCGGCCTTCTCGTTGTACTTCTGGTACCACATCTTGATGCCGTTGATGGGGACGGTCGTGGTGCTGATGGGGTTGGGGAGGTCCGGCGTCGCGGGGAGGGTCTGCCAGATGGGGGTGGTCTGGCGGAGGGCGAGGCCGGAGACGGAGCCGGCGAGGGCAGCGGCGGAGAGGATGGCGTTGACCTTCATGTTGGCTGGCGTTTGGTGAAACGGGGGTTGTTGATGGGTAAAAGACAAGGAAAAGAATGTGGTGTGACTGGAGCTCTGGAAAATGAGTGTGGGGGTTTTCACGAAAGTGAGGGACTGAAGTGAGAGACACTTGTTGCGATTGTGGGAAAGCAAAGGCGGTGGGTGAGGAGGGAAGAGAGAAGATCGTGAGATGAGACGGATGGGGGCCTGTTGTTAAATAGGCCGATCTGTTGTTGTCTCCCGCGCGCGCTTCTAGAACGCCGTTCGTCCCTACAAGGATGGAAAACCTGTCAGAATGCCAATCTCCCCGTCGCCTCATTCCCCGCGGACCCGAGGGGCTGGAATTGAGTTAATTGCGACCAGTGCCATCCCGTTGCTGTGGCGGAGCCGAGGAGTCTGAAAATAGGGAAAATAGGAGGCATCGTGCAGGGATCACGACTCAAGCAGGGCGATTTAGAGTTTTTCGCACACCTCGCTGACTCCGGTGTCCGTGAACTGCTGGCCCCAGTCAGGGCCCGGTTGTCCCGGGTGTTTTCTTGAGGATTCGGCAAGATTGTTCCGAGAGAAATTGAATGATGAGGTTGAAGGTTTTGGTGAGGCAATGTTCAGATCCTTTCATGAGAGCTGTAGCCAGCATCGCCGAACCAGGAGGGTTCCAAGATGCAGCTCATTTGGGGGCCATGCAGAGTTAACAGGAACTCCGAGCCGGAGTGGTCCAGCCCGTAGGGCAACAGGAGAGGAGCTCGGGAGGAACCGAACGGCAGGCCGTTCATCAGTTTGACACATTCGCCGGCAGGGGTTGCCTTGCACGGACGGCGTCTGGAGTTGAGCGTCCAGCTGGGCTATACCACAATGCGTTATCCCCCATCGGCTCATCATGATGAGCCTCAACGTCGCTCTCGCGCTTGTCTTTGGGGGGCTTGGCTGGAGTTGCGGTGCCGAGCCTACCGATGTTGTCCGCCAAGACTCGGCGCGGTGTTGAGGTCGGCGAGGACGAATTGAAGCTTTTCACTGTCTGTTAGTGTGGAAATTTTGCGGTTTCAAATTTCGTGAACTATGTACCTATCAATCCACGCTGGCTTAATTGCCCCAGTGGATTTTAGAAGTTGCTGAATCTGATGATGTATTCGAACAGTTGTGGTAGTGGCAACGAGGGAATGAATCTCCGCTGCCTTCAGATATTACATGTACGGAACGATACAAAATTAATGCAGTTACAATCTTGTACATAAGGCCTGCCCATTGCCTTATACAGTAGCACAAAAGAAAAAGACAAGAGAAAATGAACACAACTCCCCTTCTATATCTGAACGCCAGATCGGTTTGCGCTGCACCTTATGAATATAATGCCGTTGTATGATTCGTCCGAGAAGCAAAACCATGCATGATACCTCAAAAAACCTTACAAAGAAAAATGCTCCGACATCTTATGCTCACGACTTTTCTTTCATCCATTGTTGAAACAAGTCAGGGTGCTGATCTTTCAATTCTTGTGATTCTCGGTCTCGCTTGGTCCATTCTATCCAGAACCAGATGCCAGCGCCGAGGAAAGTGAGAAACATAAGTGGAACCGTGACTTGTAGAAATCTATAGAGAGCAAGACTTGAGAAGCTTTCGTCGTCTTGGTATTTGACAATGTCGGTGCTGAAGAGAGTCTAGGAAAGACATTAGCACATACCTAGGCAACGAGACGAGAATGACAATGGGCTATCTTACACTCGAAAATGTAGCTGGAAGGTATATGAGAGTGACTATGGTCACAATTCGCACGGCAATCGTCTCAATAGCGCTACGATCGGCCTGGGTATACATGCTGGCTGAGAGTTTTGAGGCAGCAAGAGCAGTCTGCATTTGTAGATGCTGGATGAGCTTGATAATAGAGTTAGCCATGAAAGAATTGTATCTAGATATGACACGAGGGCCGTCTTCTAGAAACTGGAGTCATAACACTCACAACTGCTTTTCGGTCTGCGAGGATCTTGACCAAAACCCTGGCGCGGTCGACTTGCATTCGTGTATCGCAAATCAGTTCATCCAATTGAAACGCGAAATTCTTGACAGCCTGAAGGCACGGCCTTCGTTGATTCTCAGGGAAGTCTTCATCATGCACAAGCTCTCTGTAGAATCTCTGAAGCAATTCCATGACCTTGACGTTAGATTCCATGACCATGATGTTTTCATTGGCCTTCTCCTCCCATCTCTGCATTTCACTAAGAGTCCCAGGGTCAAGTGATTCTATGTGACGCTTTTCCTTGAGAGCGATAGTGAGCTCCTGGACTTGATGTTAGTAAGCCATCATGTGAGCATAAATTAAGGGCCTTACCGGTTGTTCCGCCTTTTCTTCGAGATACCTTACGTGCCACCTCCACTCAGAAGTTGCCCAACGCGCAAGCGCCAAGTGCACATCCAGCGAGGACTTGAAGCCCTGTTCCATCGACGCAAAGCTGGTATCGTATGTGCTATGCTCATTGTAGAGCTCACCAATTCTAGACTTGATCGCAGCATGCGGATCTGCGATCATCCACAGTTGGGTTCCTTGTCCCAGATCGAATTGGTGATGGATAGCGGCTTGACGAACCTTCCATTGCTTATTCTCCTTCAAAGCTACTGTCTTCAAGTTGAAGCATAGTTGATATTTTCTGCCACTCCGTCCGAGTTCGGGAATGATTGAGCCACCGGCTGGACTTGACAAGTTCTTCTCTGTTCTGAATCCGCTGAACCGAAGTTCCCTATCATGCCCAAATGGAGAGGCATACACAAGCAGAAAGTCCAACAATTGAGGCATGACTTGATAAAAAGTCAACAGGAGATACAACATCTCCTTGCTGAGCCACAAGGGTGCTATGGCGTTCTCCGTAAGGAAGAAACTATCACTGTTCAGCGAGAGACCTCGTACTCACGTAGTGAGATGCTTACACGAATCGACATGCGGGGTCGGGTCGGATTGTGGGAGGATTTGACGGTGGTTGGCTGGGCTGAAGCGTTTGCATGGGTGCATCGCCAAGGAAACCGCGTAACTTGACTTCATTCTTAATATTGATTTTGCTCACCGTACCCGCGGCTGTGATGTCGCGGATAGGGACTTTGAATTTTGTCTTGTCGGGAAGAAATAATAGTCGTTGCGACTCGTTGATTCGGTCGTGGTGTTGGTTTAGGACTGTGGTGCCTTGGTTGGAGCCTGCCAGCAGGCACATAGGAAATCTGTCGTACTTCTCGAGAGACTGAGCCAATGATAAGGGTTGAGCCATCATGATCTTCCTAAAAAATAGAGAACTATGAAGTGTGTCACACTCCACTGAGTTTTTGTGAAAAGACTTAAATTTTCTAGAAGGACACTTACGCAAACGCGGCGCGCATCGGCTTCTTAAACCGATCTTTCTAAACCAACACCACTGCTGACTTGAGGCAAAACAGTGAGCCCTGTAGCAAGGGGCTGTGTGATCAGCCCAAAAGGCGTATTCATTCAGTACCCAATGAGAATCGGACTACGCCGGCCAAGTTAGCGACCGCAAGACCCTCCAAAACCAATATATCCAATAAAAGGGACCGCCCGGCGCCCACCATCATGCGGTAGAACAACATGGGCGGAATGCCAAGGAATTCAGCGCCCAGTTTTCGAGGACTGCTTCATTTGCAGCATAGACTGAACAGATCATACTTCCACTTCTATTCGGTATGAGAGTAATAAATTGCAGATTTAGTTTACTGCGGCGACGTATATATGCGTGGATTGCCACGTCCTGAAATCTTCTTTGATGGTTCAACCTTATCTCCATCTGCATCAAATGAACCATTACAATTATCTTGCTGGGAGAGGATCTGGAGAATGAGACTCTCGACCTTCGAGTCGCTCAATGTCCTCTCGACTCCTCTTTCGTAAAGACTCGATTGCCTCGAGGTCAGCCTATAAGACTGTCAGCTGAGGTCTCATCAGAGTGACGACGCATACAACCTCTGTCAAACGTTTCGGGCTGTAGAAAATAAAATGATCTTCATCAATTGCCTGCGTACGATATTAATTGAGATTTGTCATGGTCGAGCGAAAGACTTACCTGCTTCTCATTGAACCCTTTTCCATCATCTTTGAAACGATTGATCAACCACTTTCTCAAGTGGTCCCACTCGAGGTTGTACGCCGAAACCTTCTGTATGATCCAGCCGGATGGGGGAGGAGGTAGTGTAACTTGGCGCCGTATTTTGGGAATCCCGTCAGAACTCGAGTCGGCATTATCACGGGAATTATTTGGCGACTCAGACTTCTTCCAGCTGAATCCTCGTTTTACTTTGTCCATCGTGTGCGTTCCGAACCAAAGGGACAACAACTAGCTTCTTTCCGATTGCTCAAACAAACGATTGATCTGTTCCGAGTAAGGCTACGAGGCAGAATGATGTCGCAGGGGCATTTTGTGAATAATTCTTTTGTGAATACTTATATAACTAAAGGGAATATAAGGACCCTTTTTTTCCTCTACCCTAACCTAAGCTAGTCTCCTTAACTACTATATTATAACTTAAATAAGGGTAATAATAGTAATTAGTTCTTAGAGCTATTCACTATACTTCTTATTAAATATCCTATTAATCTCCCTCATATTATTCTTATCTTTTAGGTTCTTAGTAATCTTTTTAAATCTCTACTTAACTTAATAGAGAGCTTAGTTCTAAGGGTCTTCTAAGAGTTTAATATATATTATAAGGAGGTATAGAGATACTATATTATTATTCTTAGCTATAAGGATATAACTAAGCTATTATTAAATATATAGTAAACTAGTCTTTTTTAGATATTTAATATTACTAATAATAAGGGCTATATTAATTAGGTAGGAGGTATATATAAGATTTATCTTAGAAAGTTTTAAATTTAGGCTATAGTATAATAGGGAGCTACTTCTACTAGCTTAACTAAGTAGCTTAAAAATCCCTTTTATATACCCTATAGGTTAACTATAGAGGTTATACTCCCTCCACATATTTCCCCGTCAGAGTTATACGGCAGTCAACAAGGTGCGCCTCCAGGCGGCAAACTGCAAAGAAGAAAAGTTAGAAGGGAAGAAAGATGTCGCAGGGGAGTGGCAATGTCGTGCGGTAGCGACAGATGAGCAACACGAGCGGGGTCTTATCTTTCGGGCAGGTGCACCCCGGCGCGGGGCAAATTTCCAAAACCCTTGGGCGTGCCCCTTCTTATGAAATATACATGCGGTTCGCCCTCGACAATGCCTGCTTGTAACAGTGAGGCGCACTTGTCTGATCAGGCAAACTGCTGCCTCCCCCGGCGGTAAGGCAACCATATCTGGCTTATGCGCGCGAGGACATGGGAATTTTCTCGTCTCCTGCATGTATCATGCACATCAGATGACCATCCGATGAACACGCCTTGCGATAGGTCTCCTGGAGACTCCTTGGCTGCATTTCAGCCGTCTCACTTGCCCACTGGCAACATGTCTCGGAGGTTCGGTGAGGAGGCCCATTTGGAAAAGAGGCTCCGCGGCTTAGAGCCTGATGTGCCTCGCCCGCCTGAGGCCGTGTAGCATTATCAGAAATAATTGGACGCGCTTAAAGGTGGTTGAACTCGAGTGGCACATCGATAATAAGATACTGTTCTTCCCTCATAGTTTCAAGACCAGTATTTTATTTCACTCATCGGTTCATTGTCAAATCCGACAGTGGAGTATCTTCATAAGGTCAATTTGAGGTGAGACCTTCTGAGGGAGAGCGCAGGTTTGTTTCTCGCCACTTTAGGGACCGAGGGGGAAGGGATGCGCGAAATCTGCCAGCTGTGAGCCATCAGGCTCGACTGGGTGATTGGGGTGAGGATGCGCATCAGCTGCCAGCAAATCATGCAGCCAGACTCGACCGACCCCTCTTCCCACATACCTTTGGCGGGTTTGTGTCACCCCATTGTACAGAGAGTCGGCGTCTAGCAGCTGGCATCGCAGGGACACAAGACATAGCGAATCTCCCCGCTTGACTTTTCCTCCACAAATTGAGATCGAGGTCCACGGTAAATTTAAAGAGTGAAATGGTATGACACAGGTACGAGAAGTGACCGCAGGTGACAGGGAATCTCTTTGATTACGTCAGTATAGGGTCACGTCTCGAAGTTGGCAAGATGGTGGTGGGTGGGATGTCATCCCTGGCGACTCAGCCGCATGTATGTCGACCTACTGCAGGCGCCTCCGTTGGTCTTGACCGGCAGCCTGAACATAGGATTTTGCAAACCGCCTTGCGTAATTCTGGTGGAATTTACTCGGCCTTCTTTTTACACTTTCTCCCCTGGTCCAGCCCTCGTTTGCTGTCCATCCCGCTGTCTCATCGTGTCCGCGTTTCGGCCTGCTTCTTGTCCCTTTCGGTTACCTCTAGGACTGAAGCATCTTTTTCAGAAGATTTAAGGCTCGCTCAAGCCGTTAGCAGCATTTGTCTTCTTCTTTCTTTGGTTTCTCCGTCGCAAGACCCCTAAGTGTCACGACATCGGACTCGCATGGCCGAGTCCAACTTAGGGACAATGAGCAGAGAACCGCGGTCCAGGTTCTCTCAGGAGTACGAGATAGCCCATCGCGAATTTCAGACAATCAGAAGACAGCACACCAGGATTTCGCATTGCGGTCAAGAGTTTGTCTTGGCAGACAGGGTGACAGAAGGCTTGAAGAAGCGATCCGCCACGTGCCCCAATACCTACGACAATGACCTTGACAGGCTTGGTCAGACTGCGTACCTTCGGCGAAACCCAGCGCCTCCTTACATGAAGAAAGAGGAATACGACAGATACCTTCTCATCTTCTACACTCTTCTGGATATTCAAGCTCCATACTTGATCCACCAATTCCGCGACAGTGGTCTCAACTCCGACTTCTTACCGATCAAACTAGAAGAGCTTCGCGATAATATCAAAGCACCAGATGATTTCAACAATTTCCATGAGCAGTTCTACGAGAAGCAGTCCGCTTGGTGTCCGATAAAACTAGAGCTTGGAATGCATCGAAAGTTCAAGTACTCAGTCAGCCCCTTTTTGCAAAAGGTCAAGATGGAGCCATATCGTGATGGAGCGGGAGCCAGAGACAACAATGCCAAACTTTACACCATAGAAGTGCCAGAGGAGCTTGTTGGGCCGAATCTGCGCAAAAAGATGGCGTCAGCGAAGATCGAGAGACTAGAGAACATCGGCGGGCGTCAGTTCAAAAGCCTGGTATGTGCAGCCCATTTCAAACATGACCCTCGATAAATTGCTAATAAAACGGCGACGCGATCACAGAGATATCGATTCGCAATGAAGCAGTTCGAATCGCACAGATACCCCCAGTTCAACAACGAGACACGAATGCTGACGAATCTTGAGAATAACGAAGGGATGATTCAATACGTCGGCTGGTTTCGAAACTATGAGGTGGATCAGGAAGGAGGCAAGAAGGAATATTGGAACATTCTTCTCGAGCTAGCAGACTTTGATTTCTATACAGCGATCAGAAAGGAATCGCCGCCAATATCCTTCGAAGAAATCCACGGGTTCTGGAGCACCATGTCCGAAATCGCTGCCGCCCTAGCGTCTATTCACAAAGTTACCTTGGGAGGGAAAGATTACCTCACGTAAGCTCATCCAACTTGACCCTGAAGTACCGTGCACTGACGTGTGATGAAGATGGCATGGTGATATTAAGCCTGAGAATATCCTCCGCGTTAATGATTCTTTCAAATTGGCGGATCCTGGGGAAGCAAGCATGTCATTGAAATCGCAAGATATGTCACGGCCACAGCGAACGGCCATGTTTGGCGGGACGCGAACTTATGGTGAGTCTAACCATGGTTTTGAACGGAAGACGACTTCTTTTCCTGCGATTGGTTCTGATCATTTTCTCAGCTGCCCCAGAAAAGGAAATCTACTGGGAACACAATGGTAAGAAGACACCACAGGTTGACCAGACCATCGATGTTTGGTCACTGGGTTGCGTGTTCTCTATTGCTGCAACCTATGTGGTCCTGGGCACCCAAGGAGTGTTGATATACAATCACCTTCGTCGACAGGCGATCCACGACGCAAATGGAACGATAGGCGATACTTTCCATGATGGGTCTTGTGTCCTGTCCCAAATTACCAACTGGCACAACTATCTCCGAGAAGCCGTTAGGAAGACCGATGCCTTCTCAGCTGCTGTGCTGGATATGGTTGACGACCACATGCTCGTTGAAAAAGACAACCGATGGACAGCCACGAAAGTTTGTTCATGGTTCACTGAGATGTTCCAGACGGCGGGGTCTATGGACACAACAGTTCCCAACGAGCTGCAAGAGATCCTGCTGAGCATTAACGATCAAGTTGAGCTCAAATATGAGCAGCATTCGGGAATAAAACGGCCAGACAATGAAGACGCACCCAAGAGACCAAAAGCAGCCGATAGCTTGCCTGAACTGGAATCAGAGTTCAAGAGTCGTCAGCAACTTCTGGAGCAGGACATCTTACCAACGGCCCAGCGATCTCAGAACCGCCCGGGTTCAATCCGCCAATCGCGTCGTCCATCGTCTAGTATCGGCACTCTGTCTAGGACAGCGACGAAATCTCAATATGTCGCAGAACCCTCGGTTGATCCACGAGGAGCAAGCGATTCACGGTACTCCATACAAGGCCATGTACCCGCCACAAGTTCCAACCAACTGTTGCAGCCGCCTGCATCTCCCAACCGAAAGTCAGTGACGGCATGGATGGTCAGACAAGAACTCAAGAAGAAGGGAATGGTGTGGAATCCACGATTGAGGAGTTTCTCTTCGTTCCTCAAGTCACAACCTACAACAATGAAGGGCAAGACTGCTACAACGCCTGAACTGGCCGCGTTGGATTCCAAACTCGAGAGAGAGTTCAAAAATCGTGACATAGTAAGTCATTCATCGACGAGCTGCAACAGGGACGTACTCATGCAAAACACTCTAGGTGTATCTTGTTGATAACGGCTCCTCCATGGCCAATCACTGGGAAGAAGCAACACATCTTCTCGAAGTGTTGGTATGGCGTTCTTTGGGATATGACGATAATGGAATGGAACTATACTTCACCGATCCAGACACAGATCCCAGCGCCAAGGTAAAGGAGTCGCGTAACCAAACACTCAAGGAATTCACGGACGCCATGAAAGCGGCAGAGCCAAAGACAAGAAGGGGCTCTGAGGTGCTTACCACTATCCAGCCCGAGCTGGAGAGGATCATCAATCAGTACAGTCGTGCCAAGGCATCGAAAACAGAACCTCGAAAAAAGACCATCATAGTACTGACTGATGGCATATGGAAGGGAATGCACAATGAGTTCACTCTAGACACGTATCTCATGTCGACGTTGTATACCCTGAGGGACTCGCACGGTGATCTTGCCTACTACGAGCGAGGGCAATCGACTGGCCCATGCGACATTGCGGAAATACGGCCTGTAACAATCCAATTTGTACAATTCGGCGACGATCCACGAGCGGCCAACCGACTGAGGCGTCTGGATGATGATCTAAAGTTCCTAGGATATCCGTGAGTGTGATCTTTCTGCGCACGTTATCAAAGGCGGCAGCTAATTCAGCTTCAAGTGATTTGATCGATACAGAGGGCGCATCGGGAGATATCTTCAAAATGTTTCTCGGAAGTCTCTGTCAAGACGAAGACCTGAATCCGAGAGCCACTATCATCCACGCATCAACGAACCTTACCATCCCTCCAAATGTATCGGAACTCCCACTCCGAAGACGCAGCACTCAGGAGACTGAATACCTTGCCTCGCCCATGGACTCCACAATCCACCATCAGTCATTATCTCGCGCGCTTTCATTCAACACACAAGATGGGAATGACCCTTACTTGATGACCTCTTCGTCTTTCCATCAACCAGTGCCGGATAATCCAAGCTACAACTTCGTCCACGCAACTTCTCCTCGCACACCCGAGGGTCTTGTAAGAAGAGAAACAGATTCTCTTTCGCCAGAGCCATTGCGTCTGAATACCTCTTCAACCAGATTTGCGACGCCACAACAAACCAATGCACAGCATCAACAGTCGGATCCAAGCTCTTCCTCCCAGTCACCGCAGTATACGGGGTCACGCTTCTTGTAAATGTTGTCCACATGATACATTCGAACCCGCCGGCATTGGTGCTCAGCAAGGCGTAAGTTAATATCAAACGTTATTTTTGGATGTTTTCATTTTTCTGGATGTTTATTCTACGCTTCACTGGGTTACAGGGGTTTCCGGTTGGACTGGCTGCAAAATCCATAATGGCATGAATACATGTACGAATCTTACCGTATTTTCTGGTGATTCTATCGACTTTGTTCCTACTGTGCGAATGGGCTTGAAAAGACTACAAGTGATTATTGCGTCTCGTCTCCCGAATTGCTCATCCGGATTTGCAATTCTGAAAACGAACGTAAGTCAAGACGCTGCTAAAAAGCACAGAGGGTCGGTTCAAGGTTGCGCGTCCAAGCACAGCGGCGTTGGTCATCGCAAGTTTCCATGATGCAAAGCACTTATCGTCAGCCACGAGCCCATGATGATCCGCAGGGACGCTCGTCGCCCCCGATCACGACCGTTGAATTTAGCTTTACGAATTTCCATTTTTTGACTACGGCGAAACCCCGCCTGCAATAATGCGTGTGTGCGTTTCTTGCTGATAAGGAGAGGCGTAAGCAGTCGTGATCCTTCGCGCCGCCGATAAAGAATGTGGCTTGCTTAGTCAACCCCGAATCCCGCTCTCAATTCCCCCGGCTGCCCCTTGTCCGATACAATCGGGCACACAAGCCGGGCGCCTCAAATGGCACAGTCCGGAATTCTAGTGTGGTAGCTTGTCCAACCCCGCCTTTGTGGCTTGCCGCGGAGGAATATCGCGCCCGGCAAGCCAATGCAAATTTGGTGAGGATGGCAGTCTGACATGTCTATAAAGACCGCGGCGTGGCCCTTTGAAGATTTGGTTCACTTGAGAACAGAAACATCAACAACATCAGAAAGCAGGAAAATTCCATCATTATTTTGTCTTCAGGACCTTCATAGACTCTATTCGCGCTTTCGAGCCACCGTCTAGAAGTGCACGGACCAACTACAACATCATGGGTGTCACTCACAGCATCGCTACGGAGATTGAGATTGCTGCGCCGCCAGCAACGGTCAAGTCAGTGGTGGGTATCAGCCTTGAGTCGCAATTTGCCATGTACTCCTTGCTAACATCTCACAGTTTCTCGACTGGCACCGCTATGATGAGTGGACTAAAGTATGGAAGATGTCCACCAAAGACGAGTCCAAGAAGCCGTCCGAGCTGAAGGAGGGCGACGTCGTCAGCACCAACCTCAAGGGAATGGCGTTCACACCGGTCATTTTGGTATGTTTGTAATTCATTTTCATATCCACCCTTATCTAACGAAAACAGGAAAACTCAAAAGAACTCTTCAGATGGAATGGATCGCTTCCTTATATTTTCTCGGGAGCGCACTCGTTTTACTTCCGGGCAAGCGAGAAGACGCCGGGAGGCACCACGATGATACAGGCTGAAGACTTCAGTGGTCTTTTTGCGTTTTTGATGAAGCCGCTTTGGGGCTTCGAAAAGAAGACCCTGACAAATTGGAGGGAATTCGATGCGGATATCAAGAAGGAGAGCGAGAGATTGTCGAACCAGTCATGATTGATCCTGCAGTGACTTACGTTTCGTAGCTGATACGCCAATGACGATGAAATATTTAAAGAACTACTTCTCCTATGTTAGCACAAAAGTCATCCACGAAAGCAACGTTGCTTGCAGCTGATGTTGCGAAAATTGAAGAGAATCCCCGTTGATGCATGTTGGATGAGTTGTTCAACATTTCTGATCACCCGGGCGGATTGTCTTGTTATTGTATGACAATGACACGACAAATGATACAAAAGACCCCAAAAATTTAAGATGGACAGTTAAGTAGCTGCCTCAACATGGTATCTGCCTGAGAAGTAAAATTCAATACTTGACTTAAGCATGTGGCACTACTTAGTCTCCTCATCTGTCTTGTCAGAGCTATCTTCCGTTGGTATTTTCTTCAACCCAACCCCTGCAACACCAACAATGCTAAGGGCAGCCATGGCAGCAGCAACCAAAAACGTCCGTGTAACGGCATGATTGTACACTTCCAAAAGAAGACTCAGCTTCTCCGGGGAAACTAGACTGGTCAACTGCGTAGCGCCGGCGCTCTGGACCTTTTGAGGGTCCACGCCAGGAATCTTGGTCGAAATGCCCGAAGCCAAGTCACTCGAAAATACAGCTTGAGCAATGGTTATAGCTGTAGTTGGTCCAAAACATTGGAAGAACAGAACAACCGCTACACCGATCGCGACATCTCCTTCAGTCAGAGTGCTTTGGACTGCAACAGCGGCTTGCTGAGTTGAGGCTCCAATACCCAAGCCGGCAATGACTTGGAATGAGATCCACTGGCCTGCGCCGGATTGAACTCGAAGAGTTGAAAGGAGACCTGCGCCGACCGCGATCAACACTGTCCCTGCCAGCATGAACGGTTGGTAATATCCTGTCTTGGTAACACCCCAACCGCTCATAAAAATGGTGAAGATAAATGCCAAGCAGAGCGCCAAGTAGCGCACACCCGACTGCTCCGGAGTAACACCTTGGATTGCCTGAAACCATAGCGGCACCTAGTAGATCTGTCAGACCACATGTGCAACCATCGCCCTCGAGAAAGACAAAGGTAAGTTACTTACGTAGTAAACCAAAGTGAAGAAAGCGCTGTCGATGCAGAATCCGAAGAAGGCGCCAAAAATGACAACACGTATCTTGATCAAGCGAGGTGGCACCAATGCCTTCTCACCCATCCACCACTGCTCTGCCATAAAAGCAATTACAAGCACTCCGGCGACTACAAAACATGCAATCGTGCGAGCGTCGCTCCATGAAAACAAAGTACCGCCGAATTGAAGGGCGAGAAGAAATGAGGTGATCCCTGGAAGTAGAAGGACCATGCCAAGATAATCTAAACCCCGGATTTTCTGCAGCCAAGGCCGCCGTTGTTCTTGGGTTGGTGGGGGCGACTTGAACAGGAACAACGTCGCTACAGCGGGAGGAGCCGCAATTGGGAGATTGATGTAGAAGCACCTTCAGAGAGTTAGTAAATCAGTTGAAAAATTTGGATGGAAAACTCTAACTGACCATCTCCAGGTCAAATAGCTGTTTGTGATGAGACCTCCAGCAACCGGTCCAACGACCGCTGCAACGCCGTATACCATGCCAATCGCGCCCAAGTACAGAGGCAACTTCTTCGCTGGTAAAGCTGCGGATATGAGAACCAAGCTGCCGCCTTGCAAGCCTGAAGCTCCTAGACCGGCGATCGCGCGGCCGACGATGAACACGGCCGAGCTGGGACTGACCGCGCAAATCAGAGAGCCGACTTCAAAGATGCCGAGGGAGGCCAAAAAGACAATCTTGATGTTGAATTGATTGTACATGCGACCAAACACCAGCTGAAAAGCACACAGAGTCATCTGGTACGCCGATCCATACCACTGGAGATGATGTCAGTGGGGGACCATTCGAGGGCCGCTGTCAAATTTGCATTTACTTACACCAACATCTTTCAGAGAGCCGAAATCATCTGTGATTCTTGGGATGGCGGTTGCAATGATTCCCTCGTCGAGAAATGTGCACAATACCCCAAAAGAGATGGCCAGCCAAATCAGAAAGGCCTTCCATCCAGGGAGATCCCCTGTTGCTGCTGTTTTCTCAGAGGCGTTGGGCACATCTGATTGACTGCCAGAAGTTTTGGACTGAGCATCGACTGGCTTTTCGGCGTGCTCATGCACCTGCTCTTGACTCTGCAAAGACATTTTGAGTACACAGGTCGAGCAGTGTCTGGGACCACTGCCTAGGGAGAGCAGACAAACACCGTTGCGAAAGATGGACAAGATGAGGGCATCTTCATTCATCACTCTCTGGGATGGGAACCATAAGAGGGCCATGTCAAGATTCCTGAATGGTTTGCCCGGTCTCGCCCCCACTACACTGCCTGACCGCCACAGTTGGGGTGTTCACCCTAGACATGGATCAAAGCCCTGTCACCAACCGCAACAGGAAGGCGAATGAGCACTAAAGACGCTGATGGAGTTGAGACACAACTAAAGTTCAGAATCACAATTATGGAGCGCGACGATTTCCTGCCTTATCGCTGACCACCCCTCTCGTGGGTCTGAAGGATCAAACTGCATGCTCTCACTAGGCACCGATGTAGAAGTTCTTCCTGGAGGGCTTCTTCAAGCAACGATCTCAAGCACAAGCATTGGTCCCGCCCGGCGGGAAGAAGGCAGGATGCGTCCAAGCCTGGATCCCACGAACCCATGCAAGGCACAGCATGCAGCCGCCTTGCATGCATCGGCTACAAAAGGACCAATGGGTACCAGGATTCTGGGCCCTGTCACGAACCTCACCTGCACCAGTCACCAATGACAAATGCCGTTTTTGCCTTACACAGCCGGCCCATCATTGACTGGAATGGTTAGCAACACACAACCAAAGTCAGCCTTACCAAAGAAAGAGACATTTTATCCACGCAAGACTCCGATACAGCGAATCGGATAGCCGAGCTGAGTTTCCGCAAAACAAGTCGAACAGTATGTGACCACACCGGCAAAAGACAGCCGGGCACAGCGGACGAAGAATCTGTCGAGGGCTCAAGTGACTCACACCATCGAATGACAAGAACACGAGGCTATATGATGTGATCTGTCTTTTGCCTTCCGGTGGAACTATTAGTGGGAGGTATCGCAACTGTGGGTATGCGACCGCAGTCGAAGGATCCGAAGTGCAATATGTCTTCACTCAGCTTCCTCTCTAGGTAAGCGACAAGTTTGAGAACAAGGCCAGAACACACCGGAGAAGACTAGCTCAGGCCTTCAGAGAAAGGCTATGCGAAGTTCAAGCTATTCGGGTCGCGCGGAAAGGAGCTCCGCTGGTACGTCTCGAATAATGTGGGAGTTTATGGATGAAGGGTGGCTCATCAGCTTGAAGGATTTCGCCTGTGCCAGGAAGTTCGAAATTTGACCCGGATGCTTGATTCTCGATATGGCTAGTGCAACTCGATCACCCGAATGCGCGCTTCTTGCACTATCCTCGAGGGGTGCGTGATCTTCTCGTTGGGGGAACATGCCAATATATGATCGAAAGTCGCCAACATCGTCTTGGCACGACTTTCCAGGGCTGACATCTTGCATGATAGTCTTCATGCACGTTCAACGATTGCAACCTGACTTGCATATCAACAGCCAAGATGTTATCTTCTGACGGCAAATGGAAGCTTGCCCCAAGGCTTCATTCCGTCAAATTTGTTTTTGATGCGCCTATTCCAGCAGACGCACCGGCTCCTGAGGAGTTCGTCTTCGAGAGCCCATTTCCCAGTGGCACTCCCGGAATCCCCAAAAAGTTCACTTTCAAGTCGCCCGGTTCAACGAACGACGGTCAGAATGAAGCCAGCGACATTGATGGTCTTTCCACATCCAGCCAACGCAGTGTCACTGCAGTCACTGAGGAAGAGATCACAACACACTCGAATACGCTATCTCAGAAGCCTACCTGCGAAAAAATACAGGATCCCATCGAATTGGTCAAAAGCCCCGTGATTCATGTTCGAGGTCCAAGCTTTGACTTGAGTGACGTGGAAAGACCTTTCGAGTCGCTTGTCTGTGCTGCCTGGGCTCTGGTGCTTTCGCCGCAAAACGCTACACAAACCGTTCGTTTTGAACTGAATTCTTCGATTTCAGAGCCCAAGCCTAAGTCGATCTCCTCTCTGGACGTGAGCATTGAGATCAATCACACCAGCAGCATTACGAAATTTCTCAAGCTTGTTGAGCAATCGATGAACAGAGACTCCGCCGACGGTAGTGCAGGAATCAGCACAAGATCTCACCTGAGAACAATTTTATACCTTGTGGAGAGCCAAGACATCTTACCACCTTTCGACTCAACGAAGTATGACTTGGCTCTCAAATGTTACGTAAATGGAACCGAGCTCGCCCTGTCGGCCACTTTCAATCACGAAGTCATTTCTCCGACCTCAGTGAGATTTCTACTTGACGACTTCGAGAATGTGCTCTGGCAATTGTCATCCTCGGCAGCGGAGGTGCAGAAGTTGGAGGATATCCAGGTACTAGGTCCGGCCAGCCAACGCCACCTTATCCAGCTGAACCGACCGTAAGTATCGCATTGAGTCACAACAGGGAACGAGTGCTAACAGCTGTGCAGATTAGCGAGGAGAGAGAACGTTTTCATCGATGATCTCGTGGCTAATCAAGCCAAACTACATCCATCCGCGGAGGCCGTTTGTGCCTGGGATGCTAACCTCTCTTATGGCCAGCTTAAGCAATACGCTGAGAGGCTCGGCAACTCCCTAACTGACTTGGGCGTAACACGTGGATCGCTTGTTCCAATCATCTTTGAGAAGTCCGCCTACAGCATCGTCGCCATCCTTGGAGTCCTCAGGGCAGGCGGTGCCGTTGTGGCTTTGGACCCCTCACTGCCCACTGCACGCCTGGAAATGGTCATCGAAGACGTCAAAGCTTCAGTGGTGATATCTTCAGCAAAAAGTCAACATCAGATTCCTTCGCGTATCTCAGGGAAAAAAAGGATGGTGATAGACAAATCCTTTATCGAGAAGCTTCCACTCGCTGCTCCTACACGCTCGTCTCCTCTGTCGAGGGACGTTGATGACGCTCTCTACGTGGTGTTTACCAGCGGATCAACCGGAAAACCCAAGGGCGTGGTGGTCACTCACACTGCATTCGCGTCGAGTGCCAAGGGATTCTCTAAGGCCATACATCTCGATTCTCCAAGTTCTCGAGTCCTACAATACTCCTCGTTCTCCTTCGACATATCCATGTTAGAGGTCTTCACCTCTCTCATGGCTGGGGCCTGTCTCTGCATTCCTAGCGAGGAACAGCGAATGAATGATTTGGCGACTTGCATTTCCAGTATGGACGTCAACTGGGCTATGCTGACACCATCAGTGGCCAGCCTCATCAGCCCTGAAGATGTTCCCAGCCTGGACGTTCTCTGTTTAGTTGGCGAAGCACTGCCACAAGCCGTTGCTGATGTTTGGGCTGACCACGTCAAGACCATCAACGCATATGGTCCCGCGGAATGTTCTGCCCTCACTATTGTCAGTGCGCCAAGGGTTCGAGATGTTAAGAGCATTTCTATTGGGCGACCGGTGAACTGCGCAGTCTGGATCGTGAACGAGAACGGACAACTGGCCCCTTTCAATGCTGTTGGTGAGATAGTCATCGAGGGACCTCCAGTTGCACGTGGCTACCTAGGCGATGATGCCAAGACCAAAGAAGTCTTTCTCGATGATCCTGAATTTCTTCGAGGAGTTGTTCGACATCCTGGGCGCTGCTACCGAACAGGCGATCTTGGCCGTATGAATCCTGATGGATCTATCGATTTTCTCGGTCGGAAGGACTCACAGGTCAAGATAAACGGCCAACGCGTTGAGCTCGGGGAGATCGAGCACCAAATCAAGGAGCTCCTGTGTGGCATGCAGTCGTCACTTGAGACGCCGAATACGCCAGCCTGGGACGTTGCTGTTGAGCTTCTCAGGCCGAGCGGGACACAAACCACAATACTATCAGCATTCATCGCTTGCCCGCAATCAACCACACAAAACCAGAACTCTTACAGCTTCCTTGTCCATGAAATAGAACCGGCGTGGATGGAGGTCAAATCTTTGAGCGCGCAAGTGTTGATTGAGCTCGCGGACAGGCTTCCGACATACATGGTACCCAAGACGGTAGTGCCATGCCACAAGTTGCCTCTGTCTCCTTCTGGGAAGACTGATCGCAAGGCGCTTCGCAACTTGGGCAACTCTATGACCTTGCAACAACTGATGAGTTCATCGAGTCAGGGCAACCCTCCGACCCCGCGAGCTGCCGTAGTCGAGCCAGAACCTCTGGCAATCGAGGTGATTGAAGACGAAGAAGATTCTTCCGAGGGTCAGATAACTCTGCTATCGGAGACCGTTCCCGCATCTGAGTCTTCGATGCTTCTATCGCCAATATCAGACAGAGCGTTGAACCCTGTCGAGGTGGTGCTACGGAAGGCCTGGGCCAACGTCTTGAGTCTTCCCGAAGATTCAATCACTGCCGAAGACGACTTCTTCAGACTTGGTGGCGACTCAATTGGAGCCATTAAAGTTGTTGCAGCGTGCCGTCAGCTTGCTCTTCAAATCAACGTTGCCAGCATTTTCAAGAACTCAGTTCTGAGGCAAATGGCCTTGGTCTGCAAAACCACCACGGGAGACGACTCCAACACAGTGCCAATCAAATCAATCCCCTTCCAGTTTCTCAACCCAGCTGACGTAGCTGAGTTGCGCGAAGAAGTTTCCTTCCAATGCGAAGTCCAGCCTGATGAGATCGAAGACATGTATCCCTGCACTCACATGCAAGAAGGTCTGATGGCGGTCAATCTCACCCGACCGGGCAGCTACACTGGTCGATGGATCCATCCTTTGCCCCAGGGCACCAATCTGGCCCGGTTTAAGAAGTCGTGGGAGGACATACATGCTGCTTCACCCGTTTTACGAACGCGATTCGCAACAACGGCATCTGCAGGATCTCTCCAAGCCATTATGAAAGAGCATGTGCAGTGGCTTACTTCCGACAACCTCGAGACATATTTGGCAAACGACGACGCAAACCCGATGTTTCCCGGAGACTCGCTCAACCGTTTCGCCCTGATTACTGATGCCAACGGCAATGTCACGTTTGTGTGGACCATCCATCACATGCTCTACGATGGCTGGTCTCTCGCCATGCTATGCAACAGACTAAACGAAAAGTATCACGGTCGGACCGTCAAGCCTGCCACCGATTATCGCAAGTTCATTTCCTATACCCAGAAGCTTGAGTCCTGGCACAGCTCCGACTACTGGCAACGGGAACTTTGCGAATGCCCACAATCAACCTTCCCCGCCGCTCCAAGATCAGGCCACCAGTCGTTCGCTCGCGCCGTTGTGAGAGATTCTCTGATCATTGACGTGGACTCAGCCTCCGGCGTGACGATGTCAACAGTGGTTCGGGCGGCATGGGCTCTCATGATCAGCCATTTCTCCAAATCAGATGATGTTCTATTCGGCGCAACTGTATCTGGTCGAAACGCACCGTTGGAGGATATCGATAATATCGAAGGCCCCACTATTGCGACTGTTCCAGTAAGAGTTCCCATCAGTAAGGCCGCTACTGTGCTTGGATTCCTCCGCCAAGTTCAAGACCAGGCCACGACTATGATTCCATTTGAACAAGCCGGCATCCAACAGATCAAGTCTCTTAACGAGGACACAAAACGCGGGTGCGAGTTTCAGAACCTGCTCGTTGTCCAAGCTGGTGGTGGGTGGGATGAGAGTGGCCCTGGACCCCTTGGCAAGCCTATTTACCGGGAAGAGTTCACTACGTTTCCGGTCACCTGCGAGGTCTGGCTTCAACCAGGAAAGGTCGAGTTTGCGACTCACGTCGACGAAGATGTAACAACCCGCGTCTTCGTAGCCCAAGCTGTTGAAACCGTCAAGATTATCATGAATCAGCTGTCCTGGGCGACGTCTTCTGCCGAGGCAGACTGCGAGCTCTCTAGACTTACGTACGATGTTCTACCGGCAGAGAATGGCGCAAGAGCGAGGGGAGACGTCGTGCCAGTGAAGATTTCTGCTACAATCAACGACCTCATTTCAGAGCAAAGCACGGCTCACCCGGGAAAAGACGCAGTGACGTCGACACTAGACACTCTGTCCTACGATTCCCTCGAGGCAATGTCCTCTGCACTTGCTATACACCTAAGAAGTGTCGGCGTTGCAGCTGGAGAGTACGTTCCACTCTGTTTCGAGAAGTCTGTCTGGACGGTTGTCGCCATGCTTGCGGTGATGAAGGCCGGTGCTGCCTTTGTGCCCCTGGATCCTGCCCAACCGATATCACGTCTGAGAGCAATTATGAGCGAAATCAAGGCGAAAGTCGCGATCGTGTCTGCCTTCCACTCTAAAGCCACCGAACTTGGCATTGCGACTACGGTGGTTGCGGATAGGAGTTCCTTAGGAGTACTTTTGCAATCCAACACCACAGAACCCGCCCGATTAAGCAATCCCGAAAATCCAGCATACGTTATCTTCACCTCTGGATCTACTGGAACTCCCAAGGGTGTTGTCATCTCGCACTCTGCCTTTGCTTCTGGGGCAACGGCTCATGGGAAGGCCCTCGGTATTTCCAGTGATCATCGCGTCCTCCAGTTTTCTTCTTACACCTTCGACGCCAGCCTCTTCGAAATTCTTACCACGCTCACACACGGCGGCACTGTTTGCATCCCAACAGAAAAGCAGCGGGTCGAAGGAATACTGGATTTCGTAAAGGAGATGGACGTTAGTCTCTCACTCCTCACGCCATCTGTGGCTCGATTACTAGCGCCATCCAGTGTACCGTCTTTGAAAACCCTGATCCTTGGAGGCGAAGCACCCGATGAGCCCCTCATTGCCAGGTGGGTAGACTCAGGGGCCAAGGTTTTCAACGCGTATGGACCCAGCGAATGTTCTGTGATCGCAACAGTTCAAGCCTGCGCCATCGGAGCAGAAGCCAGGACTATAGGGTACCCCGTCGGGTGCTCTTGTTGGGTAGTTGATGCAGACGACGTCAACACTTTGGTGGCTGATTGCGAAGTGGGCGAGCTCCTAATCGACGGTCCAACTTTGGCCAATGGATATCTCGACGATCTACAAACATCTGCGTCTTTCATCGACAGCCCGATCTGGGGAAAGGGGACTCGCTTGTACAAGACTGGAGATCTGGTTCAAAGAACCAAGGATGGATACTTCATCTACCATGGTCGTAAGGATTTTCAAATCAAAGTCAATGGACAGAGAGTGGAGCTTGGAGACATCGAGTCTCATTTGTCTGCCTGTCGATTTGTCAAGCGTGGCGTAGTTATCTTCCCGTCCTCAGGCCCACTCGCAAAACAGCTTGTTGGCGTACTGGACATGGAGGAGGACGAGAAGGACGACAAAAATGATGACGACAAAGACAATGTGCCCGACAGAGATCGTATTCGCTATCGTGCCAAGGCGTTGGAAGACATCAAGCAAGAGCTATCTGAAAGGGTTCCCAGCATCATGGTTCCAAGGCATTGGGTTGACGTCGAGAAGTTGTCGACCGGAGGCTTTCCGCTTTCCATCGCTGGCAAGGCGCATAGAAAACTAATCGAAAGTTGGATCGAGGAAATGTCTGCGCCCGATGCCCAAGCTATTGACGGCCCTGCTTTAGCCGATTGTGCAACGCCTGACATCAGACCGGACGAGGTGCTCGCGTATGAACTGGCGAGCAAGATCTTCTCCCTCCTTCCCAGGGAATCATTCCATCTTCAGCGCAGCATTCCGAATCGGTTTGCGGACTTGTTGCTGCATTCATCAGGACTAGACTCGCTCAACATGATGTCAATCATGCACTTCGTTCGTTCGAAGTATCAGATGCGGGTGAGCATTCAAATTTTGATGGATGAAAGAACAAGCATTCGAAGCCTGGCTGCGTTCATTTCAGACACACTTGCCGCAAACAAAACCAAAAGCCGTGCGCCGGCACAAGCTGTGTTGCGTGGGATCGACATCATGACTCTGATCGAGCGGCAAGAAACCGAGCTCTTGAGATGGCAACACATGTCAGATGACATCCCGAAGATACCTGCCAGAAGCGCAAAACTGACAGTATTCCTGACTGGTGCCAATGGGTATCTAGGCACACAGATCCTGCGTCGACTGTTGGAACGAGAAGATGTCGAGAGAGTAATTACCCTTGTGCGTGGACACAGCATAGATACGGCCAGGAAAAGGGTCATCGAAGCTGCTAAGAGAGCTCTTTGGTGGACAGACTTTCACGGAGAAAAGTTGGAAGTGTGGAAGGGCGACTTGGGGATGCCAAACCTTGGGCTTACGAACGGAGAGTGGAACATATTGGCCGACAGAAATTCCATCGATATCATTATTCACAACGGCGCCATTGTGAATTGGAACAAAAGCTACGCGGCTCTCGAGGCCGTCAATGTCCGCTCAACCGTTCAGCTCACTGCTCTCGCGATTCGGAACCCGAACCTGAAGTTTACGTACATATCAGGTGGGAGGCAGTGCCGTTCCGCAGATGAGTTGGATGAAGACGTCGCTCGAGAGCTGTCCGAAGCGATGGGCTACAGCCAGTCGAAGTTCGTGGCGGAAGTACTGGTGAAACGTGCCGCAGAGCGTTGCCCGCCCGGTGAAAGAAATATTGCCGTATTCAGGCCGGGTCTAATCATTGGAACACCAACAGAAGGAGTGGCCAATACGGACGACTACATCTGGCGTTTGACGGCGGCAAGCATAGACGTTGGCGCGTACAACTGTGACGACTACTCCGCCTGGCTACACTTGTCTGACGCTACGACGACCGCCGAAGCAGCGATTTGTACTGCATTTTCACCAGCCTCGCTTCACAAGGCGGTTGTTCATCATGAGGATGGAATGACGTGGGGAGCCTTCTGGAGCCTGATCCAGAATATGGGCTTCAGCATCCGTTCGATGCCAGCGTCTCAGTGGCTACCACTTCTCAGAAGAGACATCGCATCCAGGAATGAAGGTCATCCACTGTGGCCACTAGCGCACCTGATGGAGGATGGGTCTATGGAATGGGATGTGCGTGTTCAAGAGCAACGAGAGCCTCCGTTGATACTGAAGGTTGCGGTCAAAAGAAACGTGGAATTTCTTGTCCGGGCTGGGTTTCTATCAACCGGCGGTGTCGTTGCTGAAACGACGCATGTCAAGCGTGCACCGTTTTCTCGTGTTTTATCGAGAGAGGGATGGGGTGCAGCAAAGTGATGCCGAATAGAAATTCCGCATCTCCGGAAACATTGTGTCTATAGAGTGTCGATAGCTTGTGCGTGTTTCAATTTCACTTCCATATATACAGCGTTTATGAGGTATTTGACCACCGGGTACCAAAGCTGATGCCTGGCGCCTCATCAAACGTCCCCCGAGCCCTTGGGATGTTCTGATACATTCGTGTCTTGGCTTGTCCCCGCGTCGCAATGGCCATTATACAATTCCGTCATTAGACGTATATGAAAAGTCTTGTATGGTCTGTAGGGCAATTTGGTATGACATATTTCGACGCTAGTCAGGTGAGAAGGCCCAGGCTTGTCCCAAGGTTTAACAAACCTGTCAACGACAGCATCATTAACAAACGCCGTGTACACATCCATGCTGGGGTTAAAGGTCTGATCCGAAATGAGAACATGAACCTGATTGACTATGGTCAGTAAACAAATGTGCGTCAAGATTTAGTGGCCGCCGCCAGACTGAGTTCTGACCTTGTGAAAGGTATCCTCGATTCGTTCATTGTAGGTCTCGAAGATGAGCCGCGAAAGATCGCCGGCTAGTAGGAACAAGTAAGAAGATAGAACGCAGAGTTATTTAGATCTTGAAAGTTACGATCAGTCTAAGAGACATATGATGAGTTAACGTTGGATAGTATCTCGCTATGTATGCCAAAGCAGCAGGATGATACTAGCTAGAGTGTTATACATAGGTTAGGCTTGACCTGGTTGGAAATCCTGCGACCTGATGATCTCCTGAAAGACGAAAAGGTCCATCTCTCTGCATCTTCATTTGATTACTGTTTTATTTGAGAATCGGCGGGGCTATCCATGACACTGGATGTAGTTGGTGCTATTCCTTGGCTTCAGCTGCCCATTCAAGCAACCTTTGTCGACAACCGTCGCCGTCGTAATGATCCGGCCATCCATGCTGTGCATAAATTCTCTTAATCTCCTGAGTTAAAAGAATCAGTAAGCTTACTGCACAGTCTTGTGGGTGAATTGTGACTTACTTCCACCTGTTTGTAGCTCTCGGACTCTTCATCATCATATTCTCTCGGTCCGAACACTCCTGGGTGCTGAGCGCGAGGTATGCCAAACCACCGAAGGGTCTTGTACTTCTTTAATACGCCATCTAGCCATTTCTCCAGGGTGAGGGTGTCTTCATCACAATACACTTGCCTCCACAATCGTGGATCGTTTTGTTGATACCTTCCCACTGGGTCTGGATAAACAGCGCCAGTGATGATATACTTGGTCACAGTTCCATCCATGGTATCCAGAAGCCAGATGTCACCATCTCGATCAACACTCGTGGTTAGTTGAAAAACCCACGGTGGAAACTCATAAAAATGGTCGTGCCCCAGCGTTTTCATCCAACCGGGCATGAAGGTCCCCGCTGTCGCCTTGGTCACGACACTGTGGTAGTTGATAGGGAAAGTTTCGGGCGTGATCCAGGGCGATTGAGGCTCGCCATCGATGTATGGTAGGTGACGGATCAAGTCGATGACTCGTTCAGCTGGGCGCATCTTGGCGGCATCAAGAGACTCAGGGGTAATCTCGGTCCAGCCCCCTGGCGGGGCTCGTCGGATGAGGGAAGGGTCGACATGAGGCAAACTCTCGTAGAAAGACAGTAAAGCGGTGACAATGTTGTCGCGCGAGTATCGGGGCTGTTCGCCCGGAAGACGAGGGTCCGGTGGGAGGTCCCGGGGGTCCGGAACGAGCTCCATCTTGCAATTTGGCTTGGCGGTCGGCTTGAACGGCGTCAGGATCGTGAGGGGCGGGGACATATTACTCAAGTAACCCCGCGCCAACCATTCTGAGGGTTTAGATAAGCGACCAGGGGTCTTGTGGGGGCGGACGGCCCGGGCCCGGATGCTAGTCCGGCTCCGGCTCCGGCCGCAGTTGGTTGATGTTGCCTGTCTATGAGATCGCTATGTGCCCTGATCTCACCTTGTGAACTAGCTTAATTCGGGCGGTATGGCTTGGTACTGCTTCCGTGGATTGTTCTTCAGCTTAAGAAGCTTTCATGCCCCTTTTTGTTTCGGCGAAAGTTGCGTTCCTACTCATCCGGCAGTCTGCTTAGGGCTTGCTAAGGGTAATCTTATATTCTAATGGACCGTTTGACCACCTCAAGTTGTGAGGACGCTTGGACTGAAATTGTTGCTGCTAAATCTGTTTCCAGGAACAATTGAATTATGCTTATCCGTACTGATTTGTTATATGCAGCTTGTCCGAATCACCGCCTTTTCCCTCGTGTGCTCGGTCCCAATGTCCATGTCCATCACATACATACCATCACTTTCAGCCACCCAACAACTCGATCAAGTCTGAGATGGCTCCGTATGCGTCTAACGACGATGAAGCAATGTCAACTCCAGTCGCTAAGAAAGACAGAGCATCCTCTGCCATAGAGTTCTCCCCCTTCAGAACAACCTCCCCATTGTCACCGACGGTAAGGCCGAGACTCTGCGGAAGTATACGAAGCTTTTGCTTCCCTGAACATCCCCATGATTCTCCCCCTACCACTAACTTGATCTCCCACAGAAGCATGTGCTCCACCTTCATGCAATATGTTAGATACGATGGCTCAATCTTCACACCCGCCGGGCTGGCAAATTTTCCGGTATGAGCATCAATCACTCGGCCGAGGACATCCAGCTTCACCCCAAGAAAAGCGCCCAAGTCGAGGGGCTTCTCGTTAGACCCGCATGTCAACGCCAGACCTCCCTCAACCGGGTTGACCTCCTGACTCGTCTTCGCCAACAACATCTTCCACGATTTATCGGCTGAATGCGTGTCGAGTGTACCGGGACAGATGATGCTTGTTGTTGTCTCAATTTCCACCGTGACACTCTTGATCGCCATGACTTGCGGTACGTTTGCGATCACCTCGGAGGTCTTCTCCCAGTTGGGAATGGCGCTTAGTGTGAAGGGAATGGTTGAAGGATTACCAAGCTGAATGACTTCCGGGCACTTCATCTCGACCGCATAATTGAGCGATGGCACTTTTGACGAACCAAAGAATTTCCGAGTCTTCTGCTTGAAAGATAGTTCTGCTTGTTCCATGCCTGGAACCAGCCGATGGCTACTCACGCAACCTGGGCACTTGCGCGTGGTCAACTCAAAGTCGCTAATGGGCGGCCAAGGAGGTGGCTTCGAGTTGACTCTGATTGGCAGTGTCGCCTGGAAAGTCTTTCCCACCCTCTCCCTGGTACTCTTGACGGTAATCGTCGCTTCGATCCAGAACTCGACATAGCCGTGCCACTTCTTGCTGAAGCCGCTGTTGCTGTAGTGGAAAGTGCCCGGCAGCGGCTGTCCAGGGATCTCCGCCGCGCCATCGGTCTTGAGTGGCGCTTTGATAAAGTAATCTCTCTTCTCCTTGTCTTTCAATCCCCTGTTCACGGCCTTCTCGCTGACGTCTGTTGGTATCTTCAGCGAAAATGGCCAGGACAGGCTTTCTTCGGCGCCTGTGTCGATGGCGCCTTCATGTACGATGTCAGAAACGTCGGACTCGTCCCAGAATGGGAAGCGGCTGCGGTAGGTGCTCTTGGAATTTCCGTTATCAGAGACCAATTTTGCTTTGGCGCGGCCTTGGAGGCGTGCGCGAACAGTGGCTGAGGGTGCGTCCAAAGGAGCTTTTCGTACGATGTGCCCGCGAATGACACTGCCTGGGAAGGATGGTACGCTGGGGTCGAGGAGTTCGATGGATAGTTTGTCGTTATTTGCTCGCGATGTAGGAGGCATTGTGATATCGGTATGGACTGAATCGCATTAAATTTGATTTAACTAGGGTAGCTGAAAAGTCCATTTTACAATGAGATGTTGAGAGCATAATATGTTCAATTGAGAATGGTTGCCTAGACCTCACTGCCGGCGGCGGCATGCATCCCTGCGGCGCAAGCGATAAGCGATCAAATTAAACGCTGATCTCCACGAGCCGGATCTTTTTTTAGGGACGGCTGATGGCGAGGATGGTCAGAAATGTAAGACAGCAGCGTCACGTGAAGGGATGGGAAGGCTGGCGGGATTTTCAAAATCTCACCATCTTTATCGCGGGAAAGACACGCGCAAGTTTTGATCGAGATGAACTGACTGCTGTAGACCTTCAGTAGATTTTTGACTTACACCGGTAACGTCCAAGCGCCGAAAACTTGCAGGGATGACGGTATTACAGACCCAAAAGAGTAGAGTTAGAGACTGCTCCATAATGACATGGTTTTACGTCGAAATACTGAGTCAGGTCCGGTTTCCACTAACAGGAAATCACGTCCAGAGATAGGGGGTTTCTCATAGGCGCACAGTGACTCAAACTGCATGAGCTTTCTTTAGATTATCGTGGAAGACGACAATTTTTCGCTTCTTAACTTCACCTGCCGAAAGTTGTCTTGATTGCCCCTACAACATGTCTGGCACGTACCGAGTCCGTTTCGCAGAGGCGCAATCATACCCGCTCTATAACATACCCAAAGCCGACGGCTTCGAGTCTCCATTGAGCAATCCACCTTCCCATCATCCAACTCATAGCGAAAATGCGAAAGCCACTAAGAGCAGACGCGGCTGCAAAGAATGCAAGCTGCGACGAGTAAAGTGAGACGAAATCTTCCCGGTTTGTCTGCGCTGCCAACGACGGGGCACCCTATGCCTGTTTGTCACTCCGCCCGCGATGCCATGGCAGACTGAAATCCCCTGGACACTGATAAGGCGACCAGCAAAGCCCTGGTCCAGCGCTGTGCAATCTAACAAAAAGCCTATGAACTACTGGTTGGAAAATACAAGTCGAATGATGACAGTTACGCCAGAAGACAACCCACTATCCTTCCCATTGGTTGAGCATCTTCTCTACATGCCCTCTCTACTTTATGCCGTTCAAAGTATTGGTGCAGGTCAGTAGAGGTTCTTCTACCAGACTGCGCTAGAAACGCGTCTTCAACAGCGAGGCCTCGCGATCCAGTCTCTACGAAAAGAACTCCAGAACCCTGATTAAAATCAAGCCTGCAACGGTGCTGAGTGTTTTTCTCCTTGGCGTATCCGCGTGTTGGACGGAGGACAAGCCCCTTTGCTACGGAAAAGAGCACATGTCAGGTGCGCGTACACTATTGGAAAGACTGCTCGTGGACAAAGACAAGCGACACCAGCGCTACTAACCAACCAAGTCGAATCAAACAAATTAATTAATCAGCTAATCAAACTGAAGCTATTCAGCGAAGCAAATAATTAAGTTATCGTCGCCCTAGATTTGGACGATTTAATTAAGTTAGCGCTAGCTTGGATTATATATAGTCCGGTCTCCGGGCTAATTAGAGACTACGGATTAATTAATAGGCCCCGCTCTAGCCTGGGTTAATTGGCCCTACCTAGTCCTGAGTATGGCCCTAGTTAGCCTTATTAGCTGGGTTAAAAAGCCTAGCCCCTGCTATTCTCGAACCTATAGCCTAGAAAAGTAGGTTAACGCGGGAAAAAAAATACACCTACGATGCACTTTTACTAACTATACTATAAGGCCTCTTATCGATTAATTTTATTAAATTAAGTTTAAATAAACTAAATAGCTAAATCGATTGTGATTTTTAGACCAAATAGTTAAATCAGACCCCTCGATTTGACTTGATTGATTGGTTAGTAGCGCTGAGCGACACGATCCAGTGGTTCAGTACATACTTGGGTGGTACCTCTACTGGGATATGGACTTGTGCCTTCGTTGCAGACCCTGGCGACTACAAGTTCTCTGCTCAAGCCGAAGGAAGCATTTTGCAAGCTGTGGAGAGTGGCCATGATTTTCACTCGATGACTGGAGTTTCCTCGGTGCTATTCTATCATCTTGCGTCTGTGGGCCGCCACTGCCGAAGGTTGGTGCAAACAGGTGCTGCGGATCCAGATCTGGAGGCGTCTTTCGAAAGGACCCTTCTCGACTGGAAACCCAGACACAGTGACAAAACACTGGTAGAAATGAGTCTTGCATATCGGAATCATGGCCTCATCATGCTCTATGAAATTTGCGGAAGACGCGACCAACCACAGACGAACGGTGTATATCGTGGCCCTGCAATTTGGAACAATACACGCACTCGACATGCTATCAGATCTCTTGCTTTTGATAGTCTTGAAAGACTGTTGGGAACGCCGATTGATGCGGCATGCATGAACTTTCACTCAATGACTCTTCTGACGGCAGGTGCTCAACTTCAGCACAACGACACCATTGTACGAGTCCAGGTTGTCGAAAGGTTCAAGGCTCTATACTCGATAAATCAAATCGCCGTCAATCTATGGGCTATTGAGTTGTTGGAAGAGCTTTGGGGCCTGCGCGACAACGGCAACCCAGTGTCTTGGCCAGAGTTGCTGTTGTCAAAGGACTGGACTTTGAATTTTGCTTGAGACTTAAGCACATAACTTTGTAATATGAGAACATGGTCGGTCTTTGCGCCCAAGGAATTCAACGCCAGAATGTTCTTGATTGCTCCATCGAGGAAATTTACCCAGCCATCTTATTAGTTGTTGAGAATACCCAACGGATAAGCAATCCCGGTTCCACTGACAGAGCCCGGCCACTCTCACCTGAATGACGTGACGGAGTAACCCATGTCCGCCAACTCGGCCTCCTCAGCATTCCCGAAACCCCTCCGGTCGCGAACAACCGACCTCGGCTCCGGTGCCGATGATTAGCCGAACACTACCTATGAGTCCCAAAAAATTGCGCATCGCCATCTCCCACGATGTTCTACCCCGCGTGCGCACCCATCAATCTGGCAGAGCCCCTCTGAAGAAGCAACGGTCCCCGCATACTTACCCCAGACTCTCCTAGACCGGCTTGGGCAGGTGATCGACTCTACCCCAACGACCTGCTAGTCATTTCCAGCAGAGGCCAGCGTAGGATAGTCTTGCCAAGTGTAAAGGACCAACCACGTCTTAATCCGCCTGCGGGGTCCTTGTATCAATAGTCGGGCCTCAAGCACAATTGCGGATTCCATGACAGGTCACGGATAAGCACCGGTAGCAGATCGCGGTAATTCAAGATGGCGGTGCAGTTACCGTTGCTCGGAATAAATAGCAGGTGAGTGTTTGCAAGATTTACTGCAATGTGCAGATCTACGCCAAGAAAGTTTCTGAGCAATCATTCCAACTATGGGGCACGCTCGTCGCTTACTTCTTCCAAGCCTGGTTGGCTTAGGTAGTGTCTACGGCGCCAGCGCTACGGACTGTGAATCCTTGGCAAACCGTCTCAACCTCCCGGACACCGCAATCCATGAGACAACCTTCATCCCAGCCGGCACAAACATCTCTCTTCCAAACAATCACCCGTCATGTGCGATTCCCTACCAAGTCTCAGATGTCGACATCTGTCGGGTGGTACTCTTGGCAACAACCGGACCGCGCAGTAACATCTCAATGGAAGCATGGCTCCCACTTGACTGGAGTGGGCGATTCTTGGGAACTGGAAATGGAGGCATGAACGGCTGCATCAAATATGGCGACCTCAACTACGGAGCATCGCACCAGTTCGCGACGATAGGGACCAACAACGGCCACGACGGAATCTCTGGAGCCCCGTTCTTTGAGAACCCTGGAGTGATTGAGGATTACGTCTACCGCGCCGTGCATCTCGAGGCCGAACTCGGAAAGTCTATTGCCGAGGAATTCTACGGAAAGAAGCACACCAAGTCGTACTATCTTGGTTGTTCTACTGGTGGCAGGCAAGGCTTCAAGGAGGCCCAGTCCTTCCCGGAGGACTATGACGGCATTGTAGCTGGAGCGCCGGCTTTTGACCTCATTGCATTGATGTACTGGACTGGTCAGCTTTTTATCAAGACCGGGACCAATGAGTCTTCCACTTTTCTCGCGCCAGCTGAGTGGGATCTCGTGTACGCGGACATTTTGAAGCAGTGTGATGGCTTGGACGGTCTTGAGGATGGCCTCTTGGAAGACCCGAACCTGTGCCAGTATCGTCCTGAAGGACTCATATGTGCTGATGGCACATCGGAGGGATGCTTGACTGGCGAACAGGCTGCTACCGTTCGTGCTATTTTCAGCCCAGTCTACGGTTCGAATGGAAGGTACATCTACCCTCGTCTCCAGCCAGGATCGAATGCCACCGCCAGACTGCTCAACGGAGAGCCCCATCAATACCCATTGGATTGGTGGCGGTACGTCGTCTACAACAACACCGAGTGGGATCTTTCTACGATGGGTCCGGAAGACTACGAGATAGCGTCTAAGCAGGATCCGTGGGGTGTCTCCACCTGGCAAGGCGACCTGTCGGCGGCGAGAGACCAGGGGGTGAAGATTTTGCATTACCACGGCCTGCAAGACAACGCGATCAGCAGCGATAACTCTGAAAGGTACTACGACTACGTGTCCCGAACGATGGGGCTTCCTTCGTCAGAGTTGGACGAATTCTATCGGTATTTCAGGATCTCGGGCATGGCTCACTGCCGCGACGGGGACGGTGCCAGCATGATTGGCGGCAACCCGGAGACTTTGGCGTCGTACGAGCCCGATTCGAATGTGCTGGCTGCGATCGTCAGATGGGTCGAAGAAGGGGTTGCACCTGACTACATTCTTGGTAGCCGGCTAACCGAAGCTGGAGATGTCGATTTGCAGAGGAGGCATTGCAAGTACCCAGCTCGGAATATTTTCAAGGGCCAGGGCGATCCTACTCAGGCCGATAGCTGGGAATGTGTATAGATTTCAACACATGTAGGATGGTTGTCACACGACCCCGTGAATTGTATTCGAAACAAGCAGTGCAGTCGATGCTTTCCAAAATGCGTGCATTTAAAACAGTTGAAAAATGCAGCCACAGTGCCAATGGAAAATGGGGCTAAGTTTGGAATACGTAACCTGTCATGAATGCCGACAGGCCGGTAGAATGACCAAGTCCAGCGATGAAGGAGATGCGGGTGGTAGCTGGAAGTCCGGTCTCAACGACGGTCGAACTCTACCTCCGGCGTTCCCTATTTTCACAGTGCTCGGGCAAGTTATTATCTTGTCCCCGTTTTGATAAAAAGGGGTCGTTACCGCCGATGCTTGCCCGAGATGCGGACATCGCCCGAACTCCCCTTGGGTGAAGCAAGGCTAGGTGAACTGGTGCCAGTATTGGCGCGGAATCCTTCCCAATCATACAGCATGCTTGCAGACTCAAAATGGACAACTGATCTCGGTTTTCTATTCTTGCCAAATGTGAGGATGCGTGCCTCAGCCTTTCTGTAATTCTATTGTCAACGCGGATGATTCTCATTTGAAAATACCATGCCATGCACACGGGACCTTGAAGTCCCGGAGCCTTGAAGTCCCGGAGCCTTGACATATTGTTGAATGTACATGCCGCAGCGATCAATGGTTCGATGCTGTTCCGATGGTATGTTGCTGCTGAAGCCCCGCAAGAAGGACACCGGTCCAGAATCGTTCTGTACCAATGTACAAGGAGCTAATTATGATTTACGAAGTAGTGGAATGTCTTAACGGCTACAATACTGAGAATCCTGTATGCTATTACTCCCGTTACTAGGTAATGCTTAGCTCTGAATATCCATTTTTTACCACACCAACCGCGGAGGTCCTGTTTGGCCCGTTTTATGGCTTTGGCGCTCGTTGCTTGAAGACAACACCGATTGCTCATCAAGAGCTACACTCAGGTGCTCTGTCGCCATGGACCAGGGAGACATGATGCACCTCATTCGATCCTACTTTGAGTCATCGGGAAATAGCTAGCCCAAAACATGATCTTTCTTTACCACAACGACCTGGCCACACTGACGCCCACCTACTGGTCGCCGGCGAGACGCGGTGTATGGCAGTGGCTGTGGAACTACACTGCCTTCAACACCATCAGCGGGGAATGCGACACAAGTAAGCGTGAATTGATGTAGAAATGCAGATCCCTCGTCGCCTTGAGACGATTGAAGCCAGCGCCGGCAAAGATCCCAATGAGTGTACGATGGCCTAAAGGAGCCTGTCTTGCACATCACAATCTACATTCTTGGCGTCATGAGGCGAGATTCCACTTCGTAGGGTCAGGGGGACATACGAGGAAGGTAAAGACAATGCTACTACTGTATTGGATGGTACATGAATGCACTACATTGAATTTCCCCCCACATGATCAGTACGGCGCATTACACATACATCCGTACGCCAGACAGGCTTGCCGATGTATGTCAGATAGTTAACATAGCATCGTTACAACACCATAGAGCTCAAAGGAGAATGACGGTTTGTTTGTTCTACTTCACTTCAATCTGTTCTGGACGGATTGGACGGACATTGGCGGGAAGGCTCGGGACTTTCTTCAACGCATCGAACTTTACCGATCCCTGCACGGTGAAGAGGTCAATAACTATTTTTATGCATCCAAGTATATGCGTCAGGTCCTTGAAGGCAGTAGACAAGCAAGTAGATGGCTTTTTTGAGGCTTTTCAGGGCCGACGCTGGCCCATTCTCGCGAGCGTGCAGCGTCCCTCTCAAGGCCTGCCGGCACGGAGGTGGGGGTGGAGATAGCTCAGTCACCTTGGACTTATCCCTCCTCCCCACCGGATATGCTTGCTCCTTCCGCATGGAGAGGCTTGCCCGAACAATCATGTCGCCATTCGGAGCCACAGAATGACGAAGAATGGTCTTCACCGTCTTGGCTTGCACTCGTTCATATGCTGGTTAGCATAATAACGTAGGTCTGTATGGATGTGCACCGCTTCAGGAATGTAGCAACGAATAACAGGAAGCATTGAACCGCGAGGCCTTGATACGAGTTGGCCAAGTTCCATCTCAATCAGGAGATCTTGAGCATCTACGCATGAGCGCCCATATTGTCTAACAAACCACCTTCCCAATCATTCATATGACGCCACGGTGGTTGGTTTTGATGTCAGTTAGACATCTCCTATGCTCGGGCTATATAATGAGGCAGTGAAGCTGCTTGGGATACTGTGTATTTTCTATCATTCACGCGCTACATCATCTTCTACACGAACTTTCTAAGCCGAATCTTTCCATCTTATCATCTACAAGCAACATGCAGCTCTCTATGCTCCTCAGCTTCGCGTCCCTCGCGGCCGCCCTCCCCGCCGCAGTCGCCCCGGCTGCCGCGCGGGACGTTGCCGTCGCCGACACGTCTGTGTTCACCGCGCGCTCCGCCCCTGTCGTCGAAGACGCAGCCATTCATGCAGTCTTGATGGCGAGGGAAGATTTCGAGAGGGTCGTCCCTTGGCCCACTACGGCCGTCATTGGCGGCGGGCCCAGCTTCCAGTACAAGGCAGAGCCCCTGGGCAACGACCAGTTTAAGATCACCTTCTACCACAGCGCCCCTTTCAGCACCCTCACCTTCAAATACACCGTCTACGCTGGTGATGGAGTCGTGGCGACTGAGACCCTGTCCGCCGGAACCAGCTCCAAGGCCGTGGAAGTCAGCCGTGTTGGCGAGAGCTTCCGCATTGTCATCCAGTCAATTTAACCGCCAAAGACTATGGGGGCAGCAGACTCAGGCGAGGTACCCAGACACCAGATCACTCGCCGGATGGGTCCAATGGATTGATGTGGGAAGGATGTTTAATCAAGCATGGACGGATCACCAGGTTATTTTTGGCTTCATCCTGTACACTCTTTTGACCATAGACTCGCGTTGATCTCCTTTCATAATTTAACAACATAAGTGCGCTGATTACTGTGTTCGACCTTCGCCTGTTCTCAATGACGTAGAGAAGCGAACCACAGATCACTTCAATGGGTGATAGTCTGGTGTGAGGCTGGTTCAAGTAATTACCTTGCAGCTTCCCACATAGCAGTAATTTGCAGCACAGTGGACAAAGTTGCCACAGCAGCATACATGTTTCGAGTAATGCCAAATTCCTGTTATCGCATGCGAAGAGTTAAAATGTTATGGCACTGCCGACAATTGCGGGCTGAAAATACCTCCACATGACAGTACTTGTTGAAGGTAGCATAGATGATGTTGTTCGTCATTGAGCAGCCAAAGTGAGAATCCTTTTCTGCTTAACAGCCCCTTAAGGAGGACAGACAGCAAGGAGGTGATGGCGTGCTGGACGGGCGGCGTGAAAAGAAAGGGGCACAGGAGAACACTGAAGTAGCATTGTCCTCTGCTATTGATCACCAAGACAGTCCTGACAATTCCATCCGTGGAAAAGAATTTATCCAAGAAAGTGGCGTCAGCGAATGCACTTGCACTGTAGTGCTTGGCAAAAGTGATAACGGTAGTACATCGCTCACAGCGTGAATTTCTACCGAGGGATTTGATCTACTTTCTGTACCGTCATCGGTATCCTCTCCATTTCTGAACTTTCCCATGCCCTGTTCGTAGGCTACCCAGGACTCTCGTACCCCTCAGTATATCAAATCTTTTAACAGAACCTCAAAGGCAATGGTCTTGACTCTCTACTACATCTCATACTGCTACGGCGTTTAAGAAGGACAGTCTTTTCCCAAGCCTGGCATTCTACAGGCCAAACGTCTCATCCCTCCGCACCCCCTCGTACGTATCCGATTGGAACAGGCGCGTTCTACCAGATTTCAGCTGGATGCAAACCAACAAGGTGAGAAATTTGGCTTCAGCTGGTCGATACTTGCGGTGCCTAAAGGGGAGGGTTACGGATCAGGGGCCTCAGGGTCTGTCGGGTCTTGGCCGAGCTCCACGGCCCGAGCATTGCTGAAAATGGTAACTAACCCCCGAGTTCGTGGCAATCGACCGATGATCAAGATTTTCTTGTACCTACATGTAGCAGCTAATTGCCCACTGTAGTTAGTTTGGCCCATCCTTGCTTACAAGATGACCCCGTGAAAATCTGTTTCGGGACTTTCTAGGTATGAATTCGACAGAGGAAGTAAACAGTGCATAAGATGACGATTTTGAGAAGTTGCATTCAATGTCTAGGCTCTAAACAGACATTCTGCCTTTTGCCTTTTCTCTCGTATGACGCTAGCTCATTTACCCCGGACATCTGTTCATCTCTTAATGGAGATGGAGCGCACGAAAATGTGTGATACTCAAGACAGGAACCCCTGCTTCCTTTTCTTTTTCCATTCTGTGAGAATAGCGCAAGGGGGCCGACGCATAGTGCAGGCCCCCATAGATAGCCAAGCTATGAGACCTAAGACGAGAGCCCAGGGATGCGCGCTGTCTCCAGCCATTTCCTTGCATTTGGGCGTCATTGAAGTGACGTGAAAAGTATTGATAGGAATGCTGGCCAAGATGCTCGGCCATTGTTAACACTTGACTTGGCTCAGCGAACACTGAGACTTCCTTCAGTCTCGGTTGCCTGAAACATAAAATCGAGATTGCCTTGTGCATCATCAACATGAAAAGAAACACCAAGACTCAGATTACGTATGCATTGAATGTGCAAGGATAACAAAGAGAGACTGGGAAGTTAGCTTGAAATCACCGCCTGTTGTTGGAGTCAGTTTCGAGGAGATCTGGGTGACCTTGTGGCCTCAAATGGGAGAAACGTCTGAAAACTTCAAAGCGAGCGTTCCCCGTAGTCGACCGTGGATATTTCGATCCGTGAATCTTTGTGATGAATATTTCAGAAGCAGGCCGTGTTCTAATCATCAGGCCAACTCATCTAATACACATCCACCTTACTCTTGACAGAGCACCCCAGCCTCCCAATACTGCCGTCAGTCCCGTAAATAAGATAATTCCCCCGTACTCACCACTGTATCCCCAACTCTTCCCATCTCTCACCCAATCACCACCAGTCAACAAGGCCACACTTAGCGGTCCACTGATTACATTTCCAATACCCCTGCCACCAGCCAACAAACCAAAGATGAACCCAGTATCCAGCGCCGGGCTCTGAGCCTTCAGCTCCGAAAGCACACCGGACCACGTGGAGCTGAAACCGCCAGCGAAGAAGCCGTACGTGATGCTGAAGGCAGCTAGTAGTGCTGCCTGGCTCGAGAAGCCCCAGAACAGAAACACAGCCAACGCAGAGCCGATCGTGGAGATTAGAATCACTGTCGTAACGCGTAGGTGGTCGCCAAGACTGCCCATGATGATGCCGCCGGGGATAGAAGTGACGTTGATCAAGACAAGAAGAGCGGTGGCGATGGTGGTAGAGACGTGGAGTTGCTGAACGGCGTAGGTGGTCAAGTAGGTGTACGGCAGGAAGTAGCCGAGAGATTGCAGAATGTTGCCTGTTTGGAGCATCCAGAAGGAGGGAAAGTAAAGGAAGTTAAGGCTGATTCGACGGATGCCGGTAGACTGAGAGAGAGGGATACGGGGTTTGAGGAAGTAGATTAGGGGGGCTGATAAAAGGACCTGTCGACTTGTGAGTGATTCTTGGAATGCATGGTTTGCGGTGTGGAAGTTTCATACCGTTGCAACACTCCATGCTCGAAGTGTGGTCACAGGTCCGAATCTCTGCAATAGCGTTTCCATAGCGAAGGGGACTCCAACACCAGCCGCGGACTTCCCGGCCCACATGACACCGTAAGCCAGTCCCTTTCGCTTGATGAACCACTCATCGAGATAGAGGGTTGTGGGAGTGAACATAAGCCCACAGCCCAGAGCGCAAACCACACCCTGCGTTGCAATTAATTGCCACACTTTGGTTGCGAAAGAGGACATGAGAAATCCAGCGGCTGATAAGATTAGCCCGAGGGGACCGAACCAGCGGCGCAAACGGGGCCATCGGCTCAAGATTGTGAAGGTGAAAGGCGAGATCAGGTACATGATACCCTGTATTCATCAGCACATGTTGGAGGTCTTGTTTTTCGACTTCAACGTACAGTCATCGTAGTGCCAATCACAGCTATTTTGCCTATGTCGCCATCAATCTCGTCTGGGTGGCTGCCGTAATATTCTTGGAACACACCAAAGGCGAGAGAATAGCCTAAGGAATCTTTAGTCGTCGTCCTCCAACATGCCTATGTAAAAGTCGACTCACCCCACACAGGAATTTGTATCAGTGAGCATCCAGCCAAGACCAGCCATGCTTGTTTGCCTCTGTCAGCCTGAGGCAGCGATGCCTGTTCAATCTCAGTGGCTGTCTCTTGCCCTTCGATGGTGGAGTCAGGAGAAGATTCTTGATTGTGTTGGCCCATTCTTTCGAGCTCAATGCTCTGGTGTTGAGGCGCCATGATGTTGAATGACAATGACCAAACGATCTTGTTTATGGTTACGTGGGGACTTTATTATTTCGATGAGCCAAGAGATTGAAGAACATAATTTTGGACATTGAAATACCTCGAGAAAATGTGATCTGCCAAGACATCGAGATTGATTGGTTCGGTGTCATTGATAAGGCGCCGCTAATGCTCCGACGTCGGGCGAAGCATCAATTATCTCGCAGACGCAACTATGGAGATGATGTACGCATGCTGGCAGCGTCAATTATATCAAATGATTCAAGAAGATTTATCGTTTTGTCCATTGTCCGCTGTTTCTTCCAACCTGTCTTCTGTGAGCTCGCCTCACGTGCAGAAAAGTTAGATCGAACCAGGCAATGCGCTATGTATTACGCAGTGAACATTCTCAAAAGACGTATTTCAAACCCAAATATCTGTCCCCATTATTAATGTATGCAAACTAAGTCACATCATCACTCGCGTATCGAGCCTCAACAGCGATTTTGCAACTTTGGCCGACCATGCCTGATGGTGCCCCCTTCCACTGGAAAAGTAGCATATGCCTGCCCGAGTTCCATTTTGATGATGTGGTACGCCAGGCGCAATGTCCCTTCGAATTGTCGACCAAACGGTAAGCCAAGGAGGAAGATGGTGAACAAAGCGCTCGAAGTGGCCCAGCCGAAGCAGAACCATATCAGCCACCTGGCTGTAGACAAAACCCAATGGAGCAGGATTGCTGAAGGAGACGTTTGATATTGAGCCATTCTATGTTTCTCATCATCTGCAGGTTGTGTTTTGAATTTGAGGTTTGCCATCTCGAAAATCGCGACCGTTGGCTTTGAGCCTGAGCCGTGTGATTTGTTGATTATCAACAAGTGCAAGGAACTTTCAGATCTATCTTGAGAAGCCTTCAGTCAGAAAGGGCTTCGGGATGAATGCAAATTTTGAAAGACGCACCGATCGAGGGGCAGCTTTGTGAAGCCGTGATACGTAACTTGGACGATGTTTGTCGTCACTTATCACCTCGTAATCTGGTGATGTCAAGAGGACGAGAAAGCCAGCGACCGATGGGTTGAGAGGAGAGCTAGTTTTTGTATGCACATCATTTCAATTTCGCAAGGAAGCACACGGGCATCCCTTGCTTATGAGTCCCATGGTTTGAGCGAAGCGCCCAAGTTCTCCCCAAAGAGAACCAACAGGCGGCTGTGGCTTATGATCACGAAAATGGTCAAAGACAGGGGGTGACTAACACACCAACACAGGTGACGCGCACCATCTGGCCCTACAACGGCCGGAATTATCTGCTCCAGGGTGGCACAGCATGCAGAACGCGTCTCACGGGTTTATTCCGGGCCTCGGATTAAATCATTGGTGTGGGATTGTGTCACGTTGGGACAAGGCGGATGACATTGTTTTTTGTGGGCATGGGGGAGCACATGTTGCTGTTGGCGCCCCCGAGACGTCCACGTTTGCGAGGTGGCTCATGATTGGGTGGCGAGATGAGCCTTCGCTGGCGCGTAGGGCAACTTGGTTGGTTGGACATGCACGCCTGCATCTTCCTTGGCATTCAGGCGAATGTTCGAGGCGACCAACGCTACTTGCAAACGGTACCAATCCTTCTGGGCGATGTTGATCTAAGAAGTGTGATCAGTTCGCGACATGTTCGGGTGCCCCTGGACTAAGATCTCGGGCCGGAGCGTCTTCTCTAGCTTGCTAAGCTAGGGGGAAACTATAATTCATGATTGAACACAAACACGTATGTATATTGCAAGTTGGAGACAGTTCTAAACATCGCCGGCTTGTCATCATTGTTGTTCGTCGAGCGTCGCCAGCACAAATGCTGAAGTGTCGGCGTGGGGTTTGAAACGTCAGCGCCCCACCGTAGAAGGCTTGTCGTCCGGGTGCATGATTTGACAGATGTCAGTCATTATTCAGGCTGGTGGTGTGCCTTTCTGGCAGCACTGAGATGAGATGACGGTCGCGGATACAGCCAGGGATGAACAAGGCTGAGATGAGATTGAAATGGAATGGATGTACAGCCCTGAGTACGCCGTAAGGTAGGTACGCATGGAAGAAAACTGCACCTGAAACGATGCTGCCGAAAGAAACTCGCGGGGCAGTAACGCTCCCGTATCCACTGAGGCGGGCAGGTGGGGCAGGCGGTGAAGGATGAACCCCTAAAACCTTCCTTATCGGCACCTCCCGACGCAGCTTATCGCTTGACGCTAAACCAAGACTAGACCAGTTTCGTCACTTCCCTGTCGTCACTGGGAAAATTTCCCCCCTTCACATCAACAACAACCACGGTCTAGATTCCCGCGCCGTGAGAAAACAACATCCCCACGACTCCAATCTTCCACAAAAACAAATCTCATCAAGATGGATCGCGGAAGAAACAACGCTGGCCGTCGTCATCCTAGACGCGACAACCGCCGTGGAGGTGGCGGCAGTCATGACAACCCCAGATCGGGCGGTGGTGGCGGCGGCGGTCGTCGCCAGCAGCACCACCGGGACCAGGACCAAGACGAGGACCAGCGCGAGCAGAGAGCTCAGCCCGGCCCATCTTCAGCAATCCCCCAGGCTGCCACGCCGCCCCTTACTGAGGCCGTTCCCAAGGACACACCGAGGTTCGCCGATATGGTCGGCGTCCACCAGTCCCTCGTCCAGGCCATCACCGAGGACCTCAAGTTCGACCATATGATGCCCGTCCAGGCTGCTACGCTGGACGAGCTTCTCCCCCCCAAGCGCAGCGACTGTCTGGTCCAGGCCAAGACGGGAACCGGCAAGACCATCGCCTTCCTGCTTCCTGCCATTCAGACTCTCCTCACGCAAAACCGCGGCCGCGGAGGTGGCATCTCCCTCTTGGTCATCTCACCGACTCGCGAGCTGGCTATGCAGATCGCCAAAGAGGCAGAGGGCCTCCTGCAGCGCCTTCCCCAGTACCGCGTCTGCATCGCCATTGGCGGTACGAACAAGGACCGCGAGGAGAAGCAGATCCTTCAGGGCTGCAACATCCTCATCGCCACACCTGGCCGCCTCATCGACCACATGGCCAACGAGTACATCCGGGACTCCTTCAGCAACCTTGACACCTTGGTTCTTGATGAGGCCGACCGTCTGCTCGACATGGGTTTCATGCCCGCTCTGAGGGACATTGTCCGCGCCCTGCCCGACAAGTCCAAGACGAACCGTCAGGGCATGCTCTTCTCCGCCACCATCGCCCCCCACGTTCAGCAAGTAGCAGGCCTCGTCCTCTCCCCGGGTTACAAGTTCATCTCCACCATTCCCGCCGGTGAGGCCAACACCCACGAGCGTGTTCCTCAGCACCTGATCAAGGTTTCCAACTTTGCCTCAGTTGCGCCCGCCATGGTCGGCGCCATCCGCGAGGAGGCTGCTTTTGTCGGCCCCGAAACCTTCAAGGCCATCGTCTTCGCCCCTACCGCCGCCCTCGCCGACTTCTACGGCGATATCCTCGCCAACATTCCCGGCATGCCGCCGGCCTCTGTCCTGCACTCCCGTATCTCGCAAGGCAGGCGCACCAAGACGACGAACGACTACCGCGATGCCAAGACGGGTGTCCTCGTCGCCACCGACGTTGTCGCCCGCGGCATGGACTTTCCCGGCGTCACCTCCGTCTTCCAGGTCGGCATTCCCGCAGACAAGGAGTCCTACATCCACCGCCTGGGCCGTACAGCCCGCGCTGGCGCCGAGGGCCGCGGCATCTTCATCGTGACGGAGCTCGAGGACTTCTTCCCCCGCTGGCAGCTCAAGGAGATCACCTTTGAGCAGCGTGCAGCCGAGCTCTCCTCGGCGCAGCAGGTGTACAGCATTGCAGAGCAGCGCATCGATGAGGCACAAAAGGCTAAGATCTACCAAGCCTGGCTCGGTTACTACAAGAACTGGATGAAACAGCTCAAGTGGGAGAAGGAGGACCTCGTCGCAGAGGGCAACACCTTTGCCCGCGACGCGCTTGGCAGCCCTGAGACGCCGCCCATCGGCAAGAGCACCGTCGGCAAGATGGGCCTGCGAGGCACCCGAGGACTGGTCGTCGTGCCTGATATGCCCAAGGGCCGTCACGGACGCGGGGGCGGTGGCGGCGGCGGCGGCGGCGGCGGAGGCGGTGAGGGACGCAGTGCTGGTTCTGGTGGTCGCGGCAATCGTGGAAGACGCGGAGGAAGAAACTAAGGAAGCGGTCGTTTGGAGGGTATATGCTTAGGGCGATGCGGCGGCATGTTGCTTTCGATTCCTATCTTTGAGCTGTTGCTACATCTTGATACCCCTTCATACATCTTCGTACGACGGGATGGGACATCATCCACCTGGTATACAAAGGCTGGCGTTGGGCATAGACTTGACTTTTTAGGTACGAATTGGGCGGGATATCAAAATATAGAAGGATCATTCCAAGGCCTCGCAAACATCAAGCAACATTCTCCGTGCATTACAATGTGACGTTCACGTCTACCGAGGTCGGTTCAGCCGGTAAACCTGCGTCCCAACCTCGACCCCATGCGCCATCGTCTTTTCCTCCCGGACGACCTCAAACCCCAACTTTCGCAGAACATTCTCACTGCCTACATTCCCATCATGAACATGCGCCTCCAGGAAATCTCCCCCTTCATCCTTCTCCACCCCGACCGACCCAGAACCCGCCTCAGTCTTCAACCCGCCGGGAAACCGTCCCCAATACTCTCCTAAGAACGCCCTCAAAGCCTCCGTGGCGTATCCCGTTCCCCACGAGCCCCGGGAAAAGATGTAGAAGATCTGCGGGGGCGAGGTGATCCCCAGGAAGCCAATGACTTGCCCTTTTCCCCCTTCTTCATCTTTCTCATGAGAGGCAGGAGAGGGAGCGTGGAAAGGTAAAGGTAGAATCACCGCGAACGAGAACATGCCCGTCTTCATCATCATCCTGATTCGCTCCACACTCCGGGACTTCTCCGCCGCGAGCTCCGTTTCGACGCCGGGCCTTTGCTCCCGTTAGCTTAAATCATGCCCGAAGGATGTGCCCGCTCTTCCGATCCCTGTAGCATGGAGTGGGAGAGGGGGAGAAGAGAAAGAAGGCGTATTTACATGTACCGCATCACCGCCTCGTCGACGCGCATCGCATGCACAGCCGCCAGATCCCCCGCCCTGACGGCCCGGAGGCGCAGACGCGGGGTTGCGAGGGTGGTGTGATGCTGGGGCGGGATAGACGCCAAGTCCGTCATTTTCATGTACTTTGTGCATCAAGATCTTCTCGGTGTCTAGTTGAAGACTGATAGACGCGGGCAATATCGTGAGTTGAATAATGATTATCCTCGTTCACACTCATCTTACCCTCAAAAGCAGGCTTCCCCTTTTGAGAAGGTAGTCAGCCATCGAGTCACCCGTCTTATCAATCGCGGAGTGCTGGGAGTCACCACGTAAGCTGCATCTCACTCCAACAAATCAATCCTACGACGAACGTGCCGCACATCCGGCGCACCGTCGGCCGAGACGGCGATCCACTTCGGAGATATGGGGTCGGCCGCCCGCCGCACTAAGAGTCAAGAAGCTCCCCAGCAACAGCAAAATGACTCTTGCAGTGACACCAAGAATGATCTTTGAACACGTCCACGTTTATTCATCACCCTTATGATACAAGTGTACACTTAACAAAACATGTCGCTTAGATCTACTTCAACCACGTCCGGTCTCACTGGACCGATGGTGAATAAGAGTACACGCAGATGCCCCCCGCCCAGAAATGCTTGCATAGCCGCCGGAAGAAGATCCCTCCCTAGATTGTTTTTATGACATCGCCTTTGACATCGCCCGACCCACCGACTGACTGCTCCCCGATATTTTGCTAGACCAGGTGTGTGAAGAGAGAGGTATTGTATAAAGAACCGAACCGGCCCAAACCGCCTGCTGAATCCGCTGGCAAACCGTTTATGATGACCCTTACCAAACACCGACCATGCCGCCGTTCCGGTATCCACCGCCCTTATCCCCCCGTTTCCTATTGTCGTATGGCACGTTGTCGCCTTGTCCTGGTTGATGTGGTGGTTGTGCTTGCTGCTGTCGGTCGCCCATGTTCGGGCCGTCGACGCCACCGCCGGGGCCTTGCGGCGGGCCTCCTACGGGACCCCCGCCGGTCGCCATGCGCTCGTGCATCATCATCCCATTGCCCAAGTCCGGGTATCCTTCGCGGTGGGTAGCGTGGGTAGCGTGGGTAGCGTACCCGGGTGGTGGACCCGGATCGGGATATTCCCTTGGGCCGGTGCCGCCGCTGCCTGGGCTCCACGCGGTCTCAAATCCCATACCCATCCCCGCCATATCGGAGTTGCTTCGGGTGAGTCCGAGAGGACTCATAAGGTCGACGCTGTTGGCGTCTATCTCAACTCCACCCATGCCGCCCATCTCCCCAGCGCCGAGATCGATGCCCAGCCCCATACTCTGCATACCCGGTTGTTGATGGTGCATCGGAGGACCCGTCAGATCGAGGACGGGCTGGTTACTGTTGTTCTCCTCGTTCTCGTCAAACACTTCTCCGACGACGGTTCCCCTCTGCTGCCCCCACCCTGGGGCCTCCATCACGCCGTGTGCTTGATTGTGCGCAGCCATCATCGCCGCAGCGACGGAACCCACGGCAGACATGGCCGGGCTGAGCTGCGTCCTCATGCTCCCCGGGTTCTCGCCGGCGGCCGTGAGCAGCTTGTCCGCAAATTGTTTTCTGGAATTGTCGCTTGCGCTGAGCGTCTTGATGAAAAACTCAATTGGGTCCAGGCTCGCTCCTTTCCTCCCGCTGCCCAGCACGCCCATCTCGCCTGACGTAAAGTCCATGGCCGTCTGGAACCCGACGCTCTCGCAGGCACCCAGTACGTTTACGCACCATGTGCCAATCTCGAAAATCTTTTCCATAATACCCATGCCGTGCACCTCGACAGCCTTGCTCGGCAGACTAGCCAGGATCGACGCCGTGTCGCGCGCGACCGTAAGGGGAAATGAAAAGCACATGCTGTTTCCGCCGCCCACGCCACTACTAGACGGTCCGCTCGAGTCCGCCGGGTTTGTCCAGCTCAACAGGCCCTGCCGCATCGACGACTGCCACACAATCAGCCGCAACCACTGCTGCGTAATCAGCAAGTCCGCTTTCTGGATGTCTGTCGGCTCCGGCCCGCCCGCATCTCGGCTGGCGGACGCCGCTCCAAACGACCCGACAAATTGCCCTTGGTGCTGATGTTGGTGCTGCGACGGCGGCGATCCCCGCGCATTCCGCGGTCGGAGGAACGCGGGAGGGAGGGATAGAAGGTTTTGCAGCGCCAAAAAGGTTGTCGCGCTGACGCGGGGATCGGACCCCTCGTTCCATGCGGTCACGAACGATTCGTCGAGAGGTGTGTACGATGAAACGAGCTGCAAGAAGCCGGCGTGAATGTCCGGTGCCTCGTATGGGTGTCGCGTCGTCGGCAGAGAGGGTGTCCTCTTGAACGTGATCGGTTTGTTGCGCAAGATCGCAAAAGACCTGCAGTCGAGGGGTCAGCGCGTTAGCAGGTGCCATGGGCTTTTCGGCGATACGCCCTTGTTGGAACAGGCGCGAGACTGGGATGAGCGACTGAGACTAACCTTTCTGTAACGAAGAGAATCCAAAAGACTCTCTGCCGACATAGTGTCTCCTCCCGGCTTAGCCCGTAGTACGTCGAGTCGTCCTGCAGTCCTAGATCCTGTGCGTTCGTCAACGCCTCCCGCAGATAGTACCACGATTTCCGTGACTGGTTGATCTCAAAGAAGGACGTGCTCAGGTAAAACGACGAAATCACAGCGGAAAGCGACAAATCCTCAAGAAAATCGTACGACTGTCTTGTCGAGATTGTTTCATCCAGGAAGAAGCGGCCGACTACCTCCCATGATGTGGGCCCCGGGGCGCCTATGCTTTTGCCGGACATGTGCATCGAGGTGAGAGCGCACATGGCGTAGACGAGGTTCTTTTCGCTCGAGGTCATCATCGGGCGGCTGATGGTCTCGCGCATGGCGGGCATGTAGATGAGAGGCATGATGGGGTAGATGTGCTCGTAATACAGCTCGATCAGCTGGGGGATCATGTGGAAGTAGTTGCGCGTCCTCGGCCGGAGTTCGTCGCTCGAGAAGATGCCCCTGGGTTCGGGGACCTGGCTGTGTGCGGGATTTGAGGTGACGGCGGCCCAGAAGCTCGGCGGGGTCGATGCTGCGGACGCGTTGGACGAGTGCTCATGCGATGCGGCTTCGCCAATGTCGCTCCCGCTCATTCCAATGTCGACGCTGTCCACGTTCAGCGGCGGGCAAGCTGCTGATAAGCGACGCCGCACATACTCTGTAGGGCTCTCGAGGGCATTCTCTCCGTTGAACGGTCTCTGGTTTGGTTGCTGGTGATGGCGCTGCTGCTGCTGCGGATGCGTTTGCGACGACTCCTTGGCGCGCAGCTCATTAATCACCCTCCCATGCCCGCGTTTCGGGCCTCTCTTCTTTGGGACATGATCGCGCTTGCAAGTGAGAGAAGCGTGCACGCATTGCTCACAGGGAAACTTGCCATCGCATCGTATTCCTGTATACTGTCAGTACGATGCCTTGTGTTGCGCAGTTGGAGAGAGCGGCGGCGGGGGTGAGGGGTTGAGAGACATGAAATTCCAAGATGCTGACAGTGACTGAGGTATGTGATGGGTGTTGGTAGTGATGATCATGATGACGTGCAGCAACGCAGCGGCTCAAGGCGGGTTGGTACCATGAAAACGGCAAATTGACTGTCCCGGAGGCAGGCTGCTGGGAAGAGGTAGGATCGCACGAAAGTTCATGAATGCGACGGCCGAAGGGGGAGGGTATGGAAAAAGCAAGGCAAATCAGATCAAAATGCCCGACAATAACGACGATGGTAGACAGGGCACGGAAGTTGACTGGGAGGTGGAACAGAACATGGGCGTACTTCTCCTTCGACAGTGGTCGCATACTGTCCTCTTTGGCGGCGCAGACGATGCTCCGGGTGCTGACTGTTGCTGATGATGCTGGTGTCGACTGCTGCTGCTGCTGCTGATTGCGCCTGGCGACTCGGCCTTGACCTCTGCAGAGCCCGCTCTGCTCGCAGCATTTCTCGCAGAATCTGTGTCGTCCATCACTTGAACATGACGCAATGAGAAGGGAAAGGGTCGAGGGGGAACGGTGCAGACAAGTAGGTCGTCACAGGGGGCTGCCGAACGTCAAAAGGATTTGAGCGAGAGATTTCGCGGTGGAGTCGAGGATTTGTGGTTGGTACGAATAGGTAGGTAGTGTGGTGGTTGAAGCAGAGCGAGCGAGCAGCACGCACCGACCGCAAATCGACTCGGGAAGCAAAGGCAAGGAATAAGTCCCAGTCAGTCCAGGGCCCAGCCTCCCCCCGGTCGGTAGCCAGAGTCCACTCGCCGTGACGCCGTCTCCTCTCTCTCTCTCTCCTCAGCCCCTCACCAGCAAGGGGACGGAGCTAAGGCGTAGGTAGGGTTCGACGGGAACTTGGGTGTGGATGGTGCCGGTGTCAAAGGTAGGTTCGGAGGCACGGAGGGCTGGATGGATGCCGATGGATGCGATGCGATGCGTGGATGCTTGCTTGTTCGAGCTGCACTGGAGCTGCCTGTCCTGTCCTGTCCGTGGATGGTGGGTTGCCAGGTGTATGTCGCGGACGGCGGCGGCAGCGGCAGGGCAGCGGTGGTGCTGGTGGTCCCCCCCTCCCCCTTGGCTTGGTTCAGCTTTCCCACCCGTTGCGCGCGTGAGGTGCCGTGCGGTGCGGCAAATGGTGTGGTGCCTGTGAAATGCGGGGAAGAGACAGTCGAGGGGCGAAAGACGTATGCGATATGCGTCGAGACGGTTTGGTAAGTCCACGCAGTAGGTAGCAGAACCTAGGGAACGGCTGGCCGAGTCAGCTGATGTGCGGCTTGCTCGCGACCAATGGTGACTGAAAGCGCCTGCGGTATGTTTTGGAGTGCGAATGCTCCGGAGGCTTGTGTGCGCCGCGTGTGAGGTGTCTCGTCTGCTCGTGTCTTGTCCTGTCCTTGATCTGCAGAGAGAGATGGATGGACGAAGTGGTAGGGTGGTGACTGGTTGAAGCTGCCACGACTGCGTAGCTGAGTGGCTATGAAAGTGCGATACTTGGTGCTGCTGCTGATGATGTATCAGAGAAGGTTGTGGTGTCGTCGTCGTCGTCGTCGTCGTCAAAGTGTGGCGTGGGAGTGCTTGGCTGGCGGAATGC